CTTGTAATAGTGAGATTTGTAATTGTAGTTTTAACTGGAATTCAAAATGAAAAGTTTCCAATAAGATCATTGCTTAAAAAGGCCCCTAAGTCTTAAATTTACACCAGAGCTGTGAGCAGGTGAGAGCTCTGAACCAGATACCTCTTGATTGATTGAACAACATTTTCATAGGAGGGTGAAACTTGTTTCCCTTTAGTACAGACCAGCCCTCTTCATGAAAAAATATCTTAAGGGCAAAGAACTGCCTGTGTGAATGGGCTTATGAGAACAATAACCCATTCAGCAATATTTTTAAAGGAGATGTCAATCAGCACTTGAGCCTAACCTTTAATTTCTAAAATGTGTGGCTACTACTAGTTCACTAACTTTTCCATAAATGCTCTTCCTGTCTCTGGCGAGTGAGACTTGTTTTTGCAAGGACAGCAATAGCCCACGCCATTAATCATCCCTATGAAAAAAAGGCAAGGTATAGAGGGTCCAAGTGATCAAGCCCACTTGCTTAAAGTTTCTTTTTCAATCTTTGAATATATTTGTCCTATCAATTTCATGAAAATATACATTTAACAGTAAACAAGCACCCAACCCTATACAAAATTTGCCATTTAATGTAGTAGATTCTTACAGTATACAAAACAGGACAGTTGTAAGATCATTGCTTAATGCAAAAATCAGTCAATTGTTAAGGGTAGAAGACATGTTTGGTGGCCAATAGAGGTGCAAATATTTGAGAATTTCTCTATAGTTTCACTTTTCTTGACACGGTTCATAGGGCAGTAGCTGCCTAGGTGCATATTTAAATTTCGAAATGCAAATTAATTTTTACTGAGACCTCCACCATACAATGAAGTTCTATGCTTGATTTTGAGTGTGTCTTAGTTGGTATCTTTGGCCTTGACACTTAGTTTCATGCAGACAAATGCCAAAACCCTTTGAAATATGTTACAATGATCTCAGAATCAATTAGCCTGAATTTTTTTAGAATCTTCTTTGTTTTGATGACAAATTTTTATTTGAACACATAAATCAAGTTAAGCATGGTCATTACATGTTCTTCCAATTTTTTAAGTGTAAAACGAGTTAATCTTTAGAAACTTAGTTTTATATAAAATGTGTTTTTAAACCCTATTTAATTAAAGGTTGAAGCCAAAAATTCCTTTTGGAGAGGTACAGAATTGATTTCTGCTGAAAAAGGGTGTGTATCACTCTTTATGGGTGTGGTCATAAGATAAATAATCTTAAATCAAAACTCAAACTTAAGTGTCACACTTTGAAAAATTTTTATGTGCGGACAGACAAAGTATTAGAGTTTACAGCACCCCCATACCTGCCCTTTTGTGACGCCCCTTAGGGTTGATACTGTATTTTTGTTCTACCGGTACTTAAAAACTGTCAAAAACTGAAAGCAAATCGGCGCCTTGTGGTACTTCGATCAAGCAAGGCGCTTCAAAATTTCAATTCTAACAATTGAATAGAAAGGTAGGCTAATTTTATAGTAGTTCTTAAAATGTTATTAACAATTTACGTACCTTTAACTGCTTGTATTATCTCCATAGACAACTTCCCGAATTTTTTGCTTCTCTCTGCATCTTTATGCATTTTCTTGAATTTTATATTTGCCCAATGACTATGTCCTGCCATATATTTTACAAAGCTAGTACTAAAGTAAATCCTCTTATCTGAAACACTGTTAAAATCGTTGACTTTCGTTGATACTTGATTTAAAAGTTTTCTGTGACCACAATTTAAGCAAAATAGGCTGCTGGATCTCCCTTGCCATAACAAAGAAATTCTGTCTCTGGATGAAGGAGAAATACGCGTTGAAGCTGCAGTTGCTATATTCCTAGAAATAAAATTAGAGTTTGTAAATACCTTCATATCGGCTGAGTTTAAAGTTGTTAAATTATGTTTTTCTGCATTATTGCGAAGGGCAATTTTCACTTAGCCTCGCTTCCGACAGCCAATTAAGAAATGTGATACACAGTGGCACAAGGAAGGACAGTAATAAAAAACAGAAATCAAAGAAGTAGACTTTTACTATTGGAATAACCATTTTGCATGCTAATTTCTGCCATCTGGTCACGTTCATAATATCACACTTACATAAACAATTAGAAATTGGATGTGAACTCTGCTTGTTTAAATTTCTTTATGCTTACATGTTGATCGCATCAGAGTGAAACTCGGTGCTGCATTTTGGCTTATTTTAAACTCGATAACTTTTGATATGATTAGCAAAGTTTCAGCAAAACCAGCTTCAGACAAAAGACTGTCGGACGAACAGTTTTTGGCATTTATCGTGGGCAACTGAAACTGACCTTTTAGGTGTAAAAAAAAGCTGAAGAAAACTAACAGCAATAATGAAATTAAGGGAAAATTGAAGAAAATCAGAGCATCACAAAATTTAAAGCCGATTTTCCAATAATCCGGCATTTGAAACCATCAAAGATAGCTAGAAAGTTTGTTATAATTTGCACCGGAAGAGAAAAAGGAAAGTCAAAAAGAACAAGTGCTTTGTCGAATAAGAAACCTTATATAAAAACTGAGTCCTAATATGACCATAGATCTAAAAACCGTAGGTGCTGATCATTGAGAAGCTGCCTGAGAATCTGTCTTTTAAAGATAGGGTGGAAATGATTCTTTTGACGACAATGCAGCCATTTTCTGTTGAGTTGACACATCTGGTGGACGGATCACTGTGTAGCACTTGGTATGTAATGAACCTTAACAAACATTTTTGCAAATCCCGAGCTTAGTTCCTTTTAAAAAGGAAACACCAAAAACGCTCAAAAAACGTCTTGTGGTAGGGATCTGAGAATTTTAGAAAAGAGAGTTACGGCAGGGTTCCAGTTTTCTTTAAGATTCTTACTCCTCTTATTTAGTTTTTTTTACTTTTTAATAGCTTTCAACTTTTGGAAATACAACAACTTTCAGTAAAAAGCCAATTAAAGCCTTGGACAAACTTGTCCAAAAGTTTGACAGTTCAATCAAACGTTGGTGACTTTAATGTAGAATGAATCGTTTTCAAATATCAAAATGTTAATTTGAAAGTGGTATATACCTGCCGTTTCCTCAATCGAGTAGGTTCCTAGTCCCTTGAAGGCATAGCTCCAAATAGAAATATGCTTTACCTGACGTCGTACCCATAAAGAAGCAACATATGGGGATGCGAGGTATTGTTGTACAAGTTCCTGGTTAGCATGATTGAGATTCATATCGTTGAAAGACTTTTTTCGATGTGTATTTTATTTCAGAAATATACTTTACCGCCATCACCAGAATTACGACAAATCCAACAACGTACTATGTGTACTTTTGATGGGCGTGAGAATAGCTCAGTGATAGACCCCAGGTCCAAGAGTCTGGTGTTAGAGTAAGCACAGTTGCCAGGTTTCTCTTATTCCAGGTATAGTAATTATGAGGTGTGGTCACATCAAGAGAAATGACCACGACCATGCCACTTCAGGATAAGCATAGCTTCACAGATTTGTAAACAAACACGACCATACAAAAGCGTTTTTCGTTGTCTTCAGTGGCAAGCATTATCCCCACAATTTAACTACAAATATATCTTATCTGTCTCCGGTCCTAGTGTTCTCCTCCCTTGCTGCAGTTATATTTTTTCTGTCAAATAAAATATCATGTAACTTTGCATTGCTGACTGTCTCCAAATCAAAGAAGTAGTGCTGAAGATATCTTCATTTTAGAAAATTCATCTTCTTTTATAAGTTATTTTCTTATTAATGTAAACCGAATAATCTTTCTATGCTAGATATATAACAAGTCAAACATCTTACAAGTGGAAATACTGACTATTAACAGCATGAGTGCCAGGGTGAGTGCACCATCTTGGCATGGCATAAAAGAAGAAAGAGGATGAAATGCTGAAAAAATTGATAGTTTATGCTGATTAAAACTTATCTCAACCATTAGGATCATAAAACGGTTCAAGGATTGCTGATCAAAACATATCTCAACAATTTGGACCATAGAACGGCTCAAGTGATTACTTGCAGGAGTACGATCAGGGCGCTTGAATAAGACGCCATTATTTTGAAAGTGTGAGACATAAATTATATATGGGGTCTTCTTACTTTCTTCCTTCCTCACAAATACGCAATTTAGAACACGTTTTCTACCTTCTCTCTGATGCAAACCTAATTAAAATGAGATATCTTCCTTTTTACATTCTTTTGCATTTAGGCTGACTGTTCTTAGTTTTTAAAAAAAAAACTTGTGTAAATAAGAAAATTAGGGTGTAGAGTGCAGGCATACAACAACTTCAGCAAAGAAGATACGCTGCCATGAGAATAATGTTCTTGTAAAAGTTCTTGGATTCTTAAAGTACCTCAAGCTCAGCTTACTCTTAACTTTTTTTCATTTTTGTCCAATTTTGAGGCTTTTGTGTTTTTATAGAATTGTTTTTTAAAAGAAAAAGAGTGTAGTTTCAAAAAAGAGCACTAGATATTTTGTTCAAATAATTGTTCGAGGTAATTTTTTTGATACAGGCACAGTCTCAATAAACATACGGTGAGTACCATGTAAAGAAGAATGTTTGATAATTTGATTCATTCTCTCTCTTTTCTCTTCTATTTGTGTATTTGTTTTTTCTGGAGCAATTTTCATAACGGATCAGTCTAAGTCGAGTTTTTGCTCAACATCTGCTCTTATCTCGCAATACCCATACACAGGGAATCCCAATCATAAAGCCTGGTTTCCATATCGTTGCATCTGTCATATCTGTGGTGCGAAAAAATTCTTTCTAAAGACAAAACTTTATGAAAGCCCCTTAAACAGCAGTCCAAAACGAAATCTATGCAACGTAAATGGGTACGAAGTGCCCAGAATACATTTCTTTGTTTCTGGCATTGTTTGTTGATGTTGATGACATTGATATCATGATATATGGACACATATTGGCATCGTATTCTGTCAAATAACAGGAAAAAACCGACAGAACAATTTACGGCGACGCTTTATTGTAATTTAAGAAAACCGAACCCCAAAAGGCCCAGGCCCCACGTTGACGACCTTTCTCAACAGCATCTACCGAAAGAGCAGTGATGAATATTCATAATGGGGTCTTTTTAAAGATGATAATTGCCTTGTCTTTGAAGTGTTAACAATTCCCAGAATCCTATTGTTTTTCAATAGCGCTAATGCTTTAAAACAACAAAACCGCCTTCTTATCAAGTTTCAACAAGTCGCTATTGTAATAAACAATTACAGCGCTAGATCAGAATGAGAAAGGTTTGAACCCAAGAGAAAGATATATTAAGCTTCAATTTTTGCTGCGGCAATGCTCGTTTACACTTTTGTCTTGTCTTCGTCATGACTTGGGTTTAACTTTGGGAACAATTTGCGCAAATGGAGATGGACGTTGCTTATTAACCACATGCTTTAGAATTCCAAAAAAAAGTTTTTTTCCAGTATGTCATGAAAATTGATCTTAATGAAAGACTGTAGAACTTTTTATAGAGTAATCAGGGTATACCTCTGATTCTCTTGACAGAAAAGAAGAGATTTTTTCAAAGACTTTAACACATCCAAGAGGTTTCATTCTATGACCGACGGTCTTAAGAGACACATAAATCACAACCAAACTGCGCTTTAGAGAAAAGCTGGTTACGACAACAAACTAGACAAGCTGTTGGTTGGTAACTTGACAACATTTGCAGGTCTTTCCACAATCCTTTACAAATTTAACACTACTTGACGTTACACTGTGCTGTCAATACGTGGAAATATGCCTTACGTGGATTCATTCTGAAAAAATATAAGGATTTCTCGTTCAACAAAGCATCGAAAGATAGCAAAGGCTTTGATCGGCTGATACGCTCTAATAATTAGTATTACGCTTATAACCGAGCTCAACTTTAGCTCAAGCTTCTGGCTAATACAGTTAGTCTATTTCTGACAGAGGTTTTGCAGCTTACGAGCTAAGGCGAGAACAGCAACAGTTTCACCTGATTGTCTAAGCTGACAACCAAAATACGACATCAATTAGATATGGAATACATTTGGAGAAGAAGCCAAATTCTTCTTTTCATACTCTGTGGATCATTCTTTTTGAAGGTAAGAAGGACAAAAATTAATTACCCTCTTTCCTTTTGCAACCAGGTCTACTGGCGATTTCTATTTTTATAACTAGAGATATTGAAAAATTGATCGACATCGAAAAGGTAATGCTAAAGTTGACTCGAGTATGGTATGGAATCCTCTACGGTGGTTTGCATGCATCGGGGGAAGGGGAAGCTCGAGGCATGGACTCGATCCCCCGCTTACCGAAAGAGAAACCCTTAGCAGCTCTGTACCACCACCAAAATCCTTAGTACCATTACGCCACTGACACCAAGTGTACGCCACAAACCATGGCTGTTCGCTGAAAATGAATGGCGTATGTACCATCCATTTCATAGAGGGGTTCCCTGGTTTACGCCGTGAATATTGGCCTGGATCCGTAAGCTGCTTTCTCCATTTGTCCGACATACTTGTGCAGAGCGTTCTCGCTAAGGGTAGAGGATGCAAGTCCTAATTGAATGCTACATTTCAAGGAGTTAATCGAAGGCATTTTTCTATCTTTTCTAAGTCTCAATGTCCAGGTACACAAGGCATAAAGAACATAACCAATGAAGTAGTTATTGATGAACGGGAACCAATTGTTTTTTACTCAAATCAATGTGCACTATTTTGGTCTTTGCTAAAGTTTACAAAGAATGACAAATGTGTCACCAATAGGGAGTGTGAGATGAGCACTGTTTATTGAGTACTTCACTTTATTTATGCCCATGTCGTTTACTTCACCTCTTACGTCATAGTGTTACGCTAAGACCAGAATAAGGTTGCAATCCAATTAAGTCTCATCCTGATTGCCCCCACTTCATCTTGAGCGCATTGCGAAAGTTGATTTGAAGGAAAATTGAATATTTAATTTTGCAATTCCAATCGACGATTGCTAGGAGCAATACAAAAAACAAAAGTAGAACCTTCGAATGAAAAATATTTTTACAGTGTATCGAGTTGTGTAAATGACAAATATCGAATGCAATATCTTCCTTTGTAGAGCTCGAGAATAAAATACGCTGAAGCTGCCACGTGATCGGCAGAATAAAGGACCTGGCGCATTCAAGCTAATGTGGTCATTCTTTTTTAAAGTTATCAATCTTCACAAACGAAAATTAAGAAAGCCAAAAACTGCGTCACAGAGACATCATAATTTTAATAAAAATCGTACCATCCTCGATCGAATTATTTAAATTTTCTTGGGTCATTGTGTTATGTTTATGATCTTAAAACATTTGTGCAAACACGAAGTGCCCCCAGAGAACATGTCTTCATTTCCATTACACAAGACGTAAGAAGATTTGTTTGAAACATATACGTCAAGCTTTAAGACATTGCTAGCAGCGTTCACATATGTTCATTATCCATACATTTCTTCACTGTTCTTTTTTGTTAAGTAGTCGCTATAGATTGGAAAGGAAAACAGATAGTGCAGACGCAAAGTCGGACTTTGCGTCTGGCATTTTTGACGCAATCAAATTTGTCTTTTCAACCAAGGTGCTGCTAAAAACTTCAGAGTTATCCTTAAAAATCTCGAATATCCTTAAAAATCTCGAATATTCGACTGCCTTTTGGTTGACTTGCAGACAACCAAGGTTTACTGCCATTAAAATTTTGAAATATTCGAATAGGGCAATTCAACAGCTACAGAACGCAACGTAGTTGTAAACTCTATGTGATTTCGGTGCCTCGAGGAGCGGTTCTTGAAGCAAGGGCTCAACACTAGAGCTGATGCCTTGGAACTTCAAGAAACGTTAGAGCTCTTTAGTTAACTTTATTCTTGCTTCTGCTCATTGATCATTGGTATAGAACAGATACAGTGTTACTGAACACTGAACGAACAAAGTGCAAGAATGACTGACTTGCACACGCACACTCTTGGTGGATGAATAATTTGAAGTCTTCTTTAAATCAAATCATCCCCCTTCTCAAAGTAGGATGAGGGATTGCTCATGCGATAGGAAATACACACTTGTTAGATTCTCTAGCAACACATGATATGCCACTAACTTTTTACTTTGTAACACTAGATACCGGCTGAGCCAACAACAATAGCCATTCCAACCCCAACAGTGGCACCTGCAGCTCGACTGGCAATGGAACTAGTCAAATCATGTATCATTGATATAACAAAATATAGATTCGGTGAGTGTTTACCCTCGTTGTTTAAACTGGTTGGAGAGTTAAAAAGCTATTTAATATGGTTAAGACGAGGATTTTTTCGAATTTCATGCAGGTGCAGCTTAAGCCATACTTAATTCTAATTATGTTTACATGATATCTCGACATCATCTTCGCGCACAAAACAATCAAAGTGCATGCACATCGAATTCATTCACGATTGCGCAGGCACTTTCACAGCAATCACGGGGCCACTTATGATCTTCCTATTCAAAAAGTCCTTTTGCGACCGTTGTACCTATTGAACAAGTGAATACAGTGACGTATCTTGACCTTCCAGACTAGGAGTGTCATCCAAAGAACAATGTACACCTACCCATAGGCGATTTTACCGATCATAAGGATATTGTGAACCGAATGAAGACTTACCGCTCATGAAGAATTGGGGGAGGGGTTTGTCACACCCCCATGCACCCTCGCTAGCTACGCCCCTGAGTATATATCTGCTGGTTTGTTTGATCCTTTTGAATCTGTATGTATTTTCTCATTCACAGATTTGCCTACAGCTAACAAATGCCCAGTGAGCTATACCCTAATTTGTTGGCCAGAGCTGGAAGTTGGGAATAATATCAGCATCCAATGCCCTGGCATGTTTTTTGCGACAGACAGTAAGTTCGATATAAACTTTTCAGAATCGATTATTATTGCTACATTTATATCGATATGAAAAGTAAAAGGTGGTTTTAAGACGAGGTAACGAGGAAACTCTTTTTAAAGGTTCTAACATCAATGGTTGGGTTTTGAGGTTGACTTTAAAATTTCAAGGATCTCAGAAAAATATAGGATTGGACCCTCTTTAAACAACGAGTTAAACTAAGTTTGACTCTCAAACTAGCAAAATCGGTGGGAAACTCACTACAAATACAACTATTTTGTTTATGCTAGATTTATAATTCAAATGTCCAGAAAACATTTTCTGCTAACAAAAATTTTTTTTACAGAAATCGTTACGCGCAAGTGCTATGCTAACGGAACATGGGAAAAAGTGATCTTAAATGACATATGCAATCCCTTACCTCAAGATATCGCTGAACAGAATTTTCTTAAGCTTCTTGCAAAATATAACATCAGCGTGGTGAGTTCTTACAACGACCTGAAACTTCAGATAAAAACTTTCTTTTCAGTGTTTATATTCTTAAGTGATGACGTCACAAAATTTTTCTTTTTTAAGTTTCTGAGGTTTGTTCGTTAACCAGAAAGAGCATCATAAATACCACTTAATATGCAAAATCAAATAAAGGTGTTAGGAATTGGCAGAGATATGGACAGATTAGCACAGTTGCCTCATCAAACCTTGTTCCGCAAAATAACAGTGATGCATTTCCTTTTCATGCATTGACCTGATTTTGCATATTAAAAAGAATAGATCTAATCACGTAGATCTTAATGCGTCACATAGAATTCACATAGCTTGAGACTTGTGACGAGGAAGCATTTGGAAAACGGAGAGGCAAAGAACTGGAGTACACATTTCCACGCTCCTTTTCTTACTATGATATATTTACCACATAAAATTCCAATTATGATTGATAATAGGCAGTTGATTAGAAACATCATAGTCATAAGAAAAAGACCAGGAAATATTCTAACTAAATATCTTGCAATTAAACAAGCATTACGGAGCAGCTCCTTACGAAATGAAGCCAGGATTTTTTGACATTGAGAGTCATCTTTTACCTTAAAAGGATCTTGGTGGAGGCTTCTGAAAAGCGGATGACCTGTCTACCCTAGTGTTCCCCAGGCTTTTTAGTCCCCAGTTTCAGCACCAACGAATGTTTTTTTAACTAAAAAAGATAATATTCTTATCGAACACAGAGCATTATCAAAATAAAAAACACTCCTGCCACATTCCCTAATGATTCGCTCCTTTTTTAGCCGCCTCACAAAGCTGCGCCAGTTGATCCCCCATGCACTTCCGCTAGCTACGCCCCTGAGTATCATCAAAGAGCATTATCAAAAAAAAGAACACCCCTGCCACATTCCCTAATGATTCATTCCTTTTCTAGCCGCCTCAGAAAGCTGCGCCAGTTGATCCCCACCTGGATCGGCAAATCAAAATATTCGTAACAATGCAATGGGTATCACTATCAATCATGATTCCTTCGTTACTGCTGCTATTTATATTTCCGTAAGTAATCAATTATCTCTTTCCATAATATTCCTCTTCTAAAACATTTCAAAAAATAAAGCTCCTTTGAAGACATAAACTAGGCAAAAGACGTCAAATAAGCTCTTAATTGTTTGATATAAGAGCATAGAAAACATGAAGTGTACTAACAGATTAGTTTTGGCATCGATCATAGAGTTTAGAAATTATCATTTCATATGGGAAGTGAATGCACTTATTGGATTTTATCTCAGTTAGGCTCGCCTGTTTTAGCACAGGCAGGACTATTTGATAACTTTCTTGTTGCTTGTTGCATGACAAAAAGTCAAAACTTGCTACAAATCAGATTGTGATCAAAATTGTTATGTGATCGCTAGTTATGTGATCAAAAGGGGTTTCCAGGTTCCATCTTCAAGCAAGGCACCCCTAGATTGCTCATTTTGGGACGGAATTTTTTCAAGGGGTTTGTCATACCCTTCATGCCCCTAATAGAAGGTGTTGTATATGTCGTCATCGCTTTGAAATGCTCTTGCCAATTTAAGTTACGTCATCATACTATTCCTTAAAACGATAATACAAAGAGCGAATAAATTGAGTGCCAGAATGAATTTAGTATTGATAGTAAAAAAATTTCTTTAAAATAATATTGTCTATGTAATATTATTTATATTATTATATCATTATCATAATATTATCTTTTAACTATCCTTACTAAATTCATTCTGGTACTCAAATCATTCGCTCACTATATTATGGTTTTGTGGATGAAGCACCACACGCAACGTACATATTTAATAGTATCCTTTAATTTTCCTTAGCACGTGTTTATATAAAGTATTACCTGCAAACCGTCAGAGATAAATATAATTTCTTCAGCTTGTAATGCGGTATGCGGTATAACAAGACTATTTTATTATTGCAGGAATCTAAATGACGACAAGATGAATTTGCACAGATGCCTGGTTGCATCGTTTCTCATGAGCGTTGTTACTTTTCTACCCGAATATTACATGTCACTTGCAAAAACCAACCCAGTGAGTAGCTTCTGAATAACCAAGACATTTTGTTTCGTGTACATACAGAGTTAAGGCCAGTTTCCACTTGATTCGCTCTAGTTGCGTGACTTGGCGAAATCGAATCAACAAGTCAGGGAATCGGCGAACGCGACCAGTCGCCCAGTGGTTAAACTGAGTTGAACTACTCAGCGAATGGTCGCGCATTCGCAGCGAATGAGGAAGTTCAATTTGCGCATGCCCCAATGTGCAGCTCGATCGCGCGTAAAGTGGAAACTTTATACATATATATCTAATAAACCTATCTTACTGGTTCCTTTCTAATAGCTAATGCAGCTCAGGGTCTACTGCTGGGGAAATACATTAGAATAAAGGCTGTTGTACACAACCAAAATGCGCTTAAAAACATCATAGCAAACAGCCCTGGGAAACGAGGAAAAAAATGAAAAAACCTGTTGGATTAGAGCAAATCGTTTCGCTTGTAATTAAAAAACCCTAAAGTGCCTGCCAAAATTGCCATCTTTCTATGAAAACATTTTTAATTTCTTTACCCAAGACTATAACTTTCACTCTCCCTTTCCCCCATAAAAGTTTTGATAGTCTGGGCAAATATCATACAAGTAATACATAGATATTTCTGTTTACATTACCTCTAAATTCGACAGTAGACCAGCATCGTTTCAAGGAGGAGTGGTTGATGGCTGAATTTGCCTTTCAAAACTAACGTTAGTAACACAAGGCGTTTGGCAGTGATTGCTGCCAACTTTGAGGTCCTTCATATATTTTGTTCTAAGATTTATAAGATCACAGTGGTACTAGTCGATAATAACTTACAAACTATACAAGAGTACACAGAAGGATGCTACACTGTCTTTTTAACATGCATAATTTTTAAATCCATAAAACACTGAAATAACATGTTGATTAACTGCTAAGAGATTTGGTTGTGATTTTAAATTTTTCAGCAAGCATGCAACGCCTTGTGGATAATTAACAGACTCTTTGCCGTCTGCGAAGTGACGTGGATGTTCAATGAAGGAGTTTACCTCCTCAAAACGATCATGTTCGTGTTCTCACAGAATTCATACATATGGCTGTTCTTTCTCTTCGGATGGGGTACGTCCTTTTAATTGCAACTTTAAAGCTCTCTGACTCTATCATGAAAAAACCTCCTTTGTCTCCAAAGGAGATTTGATACCAAAGAAAGAGCAGCGTGGTGTATGAATAAAACAATGCCACTAAATACCTTTTATATCGTTTAATGAACAATGATAGCTACATTCTTATCCAAACAATATTGAACCGAGAGATATTAATGGTTGGAACCAGGTAAGAAAGACTTGCCTTTTTAAGTTTCGACTAGAAATTGGTATCGTGTGAACTTTGCGAGATTTCTCTGGAACGAAATTTGCCGAAATGCAATACAACGTAAACGCAGTAGGAACTTTGTTTCAGTGGAAAATTGAGTCAGTTGGGTAGATATAAAAGTCTCGTTTTGACTACGAGACATATATGTGAACCCGAAACGTCATAAACTGCTGCAACTTTGCTAATTACTTTCCATGTTCTAAAGGATTTCCCGTGGTTCTGACGCTACTTGTTTGGACGCCCGTAATGGTAAAAAAGATCGGCAACATATCAGGAAGGTATGTACTTAGACATTATCTTGAGTGCCCTATTTTACAAAAACATCATTCTATTAAAGGATTTCTAAGAGAAACTCTCGTCGACGTACAAATATTTCCTCGAATTAGGTCTGACTAGAAATTCAACCATTAACATGGCTGGGAATGCAAAACCACGAAATTCCCCGTAACATGGCGTAGAATATTTTAATGAAATCTGGAAACCATGTAACTCTTGTATTAAGAGGCTTCTTTCTTCCATTCATTAGATGCTGGACACATGACGCACAAAATAACCTGATGCTTATTCTCTACGTACCAATGACCATCATGCTGGCAGTACGTAAAACATATATATTTTACATATTTCAAATGGCTGTTGCACAGTAGGCTTTGCAAGAAACCTACGGAATTTGTAGGCTTTCAACTTAGGGAGATCATTGCTGAACGGGTTGCTGCAGGGAGGTTAAAGTGGCTTATAAGGAGATGTACAAGCTTAAGTGTGCAAAACCAGGAGACTTGGAGTTGCTACTCCGAGTTTAACATTCAATGCAATCCTAATGAATAGTTTCCTGATTATCACATTAAACGTGAAACGCGAAATAGCCTCTTAAAACCGTCATGTTTTACCCACCAAAGCAGGTATCTTTAATTATGCTCTGTATAATTAGCATGATTTAAAACCAACATCAGCAAGAGATAATAATAAACCATTTGCTGTCTGTTGTTACACAAAGATCTGCCCTAAATGATTAAGGCCAACATCTTCGTAACTTCGAAAGTAGCCTACGTAAAGCTTTATCTTCTTCTTTTCAAAGCCGATTCCTTTCCTCCACGTGCCATAAAATATGAAAAAGAAAGATAAGCTTATCATTAAGGACAGAAATTATCTTTTCTCTTCCCTTCCTCTGGTACTTCCTAACAGGGGCACAAATTGTTGGGTTGTGGGGGAGGGGGGCAGAGCAACCTTTCTTTCCATGCCGCAGATTCAATAAACCACACAGACTTTTTGAGTAAATGTTAACATATCCTTATTTCTGCATCTTTCATTATTGACGTTATTTACTTTATTATAGTTAAATCTGATCATCCTGTTATATGTTATTGGAGTCGTCATTTCAAAACTGAAGCAAAACCATTCTGTTGATATGCGATCAAAAAGGTATGCTGATTTTTTGACAACTAAGAAAGTGTAGTAAAAGCAACATTTAAAGATGAGGCACAAGCTGTCATTTTTTGTCGAATCCTATTTATTCTGCAAGTTAACCATGGACTGCTATCAAGAATTGTTCTTTGTACAATCATTTCTAATTGTTTGCATTGAATGAAGTAGAATACTCATTACATTTAGAATGATTCCCTCTAAATTAGATGAGCCCCCCTTCAGAAGTCTAACTACATGCAGCATCTAACAGTCTTGTAATGCCGTTTTTCAATTTCTTCGTTTTGTAATCTGTTCTATTTGAAATAACGGAGCATTTTGTACTTTTCATGTTGTAAAATTTTTATTATAAAAAGACTGAACTGAATGGCACAGACCTGCATGTGACTAAACATAACTTTACTGTAAAGTAGCTCTTAAATTCCATTTATCATAATCTACAATCTACAATTCAGTGCTGTGTAGTAATTCTGGTTTTATCCATTCAAAGGAAAGCAGCGAAGGGTGCCATTGTGCTAATGCCTCTCTTGGGTACAATATACCTGATGATCTTTTATGCTCCACAAGGTGTTGTATGGTATGACTATTTGCTTGTGGTGACACAACCAATGCAGGTGCGAGTTAGAAACATAAAACTATCAAGATGTCCCTCATTAATTTATTGTTGACCAATAATGGTTTCTAATTTCTTCATATGAAATATAACAGTGCAGTGAAGAGGAATTTATGTGAATTATTACCGTTGAAAAACACAGTTTTGTTCCACAAAGGAGTAAAAGGCAGGGAATAATTCCACTGGGGGGAGGGGGAGTTGGGGGAAGGGGGACTGAACAAAATCTACTGGAGGGGTGGATATACAGTCTGTTAGCTGAAATGATGTTCTTGATTTTAGATTAAAGGATAGTTTTGAAGCTATGATCTATATAGATTAACGAGGAGAAAACATTTCATTGCATTTTCATTCAATGTTGCTACTGTGATGAGCTAAAATGACGATTACTGGCAAAAAAATGGATTTTTCAGGGTATATTGGTCTGCGTTGTGCATGTCTTCCTGAATAAAGATATACATTCTGCCATAAAAGGCAAATGGAGGAAGTTACGAGGCCGGTCATCTATGGTAAGTATTGATATGATTTCATTAGAAGGCCCAAGTTACATTGATTTAAGGTTTTGGTGCCTTTTGGATCCCTGACTTCCCGACAGCACACCAGTAATGACAATTGTCCATCGGTTATGAAACACTTTATTCTATCGCTGTCATCTACATCCTGCATTCTTTTCATATCCACATAAGCGCGATCAATTATACATTCATAGCGCCCCCTCGCTTTCTGTGAATACGCTTAGTTTTGTATTTAGTCAGGTACCACATCAAGGCGCAACAGTCGCACTGCAACGTCTATTATTACCTCTGTGTTTCTGCACGTTAAATCCAGTGGCGTAACGATGGCATCTTGGGCCTTACAGAAAAACTGAGACGGGGCCCCTATTTACGAACTGCAAGAAAGTCCATTCGGACGCTGCAAAGCACGTGAAACACAATAGCAGGATAACCATGGTTATTTCTTATCGTTTATAGAGAAAGCTAAGTTATGGAAGCTTCAGTTGAAGAAATTTAAAAGTTTTTGAAAATTGAATGAACTTGAGCGAAGTCCTATAAACATGGATATTAAATTAATTTGTGGGCCCCTTTTGGTCGGGGGCCCTTAGTTATCGAATTAAGGTGCCCTAAACTGCGTTGCTCCACAGGGTGAATCAGATCATAAAAACGATTCTTAAAAGAGCTTAACTATAGGAAACAACCATACAGCAACACCAACAGGCGGTCATATACATTGTCAACCATACTTTGAAAAAATCTGAATTGAATACATTTCTATTAATGCGGATCCTTGCTACCCTAACGATTCCTTACTTTTTCATTTTCTCCTTCTTTCTCTCCTTGGGCTTTTAGTTTGTATCTTCATTATTTATAAATTTGATTCTTCAGTTAAATCCGCCAGTATTATTTTTTTGTGTCATTCCACTTTTCTTGGTTTTTTTCTTGTTTGCTAGCTTTTTGCCTTCTCAACCATCCCTCTTCTTTTGATCCATTACTTTCATTCCTTTCAAATTTTCCGTTTTCTTTCCGTTTTCTAACTCAAACTACTCATTTCTTCCCATGCCTTATAACGCCGCTGCCGTTTTTAGTTTGTTTATCAATATATTTTCCGTTTCCTATCATCCATTGAATAATTGAATTAGTAATCGGTTAATTAAATGTTGAAGCACATCAAGAGATCAGTAAAAATAAAGTATTGCTTTCTGACTTAAAGTACAGCAAAATACGGCGCTGTAGCAGAAAACGAATTTTTCTTTCATTCAAATTGCTTTACCAATTCCAATCAAATTTCAGTTCCAATCAACGAAATTCTTCTCTGCTTATGGAGGACCAAAGCATGGAAAAAATAGAACAAACGCTGACAGAAGAGATACCTCAACATTGCCAAAAAAGAAAATTTCAGTTGAGTCGTCAGTGGTTGGGTGGCAAAGAAAACGATCCTCGAGAGTAGTGCCAGTTATTGTGAACAATAACGTTGTAGCACTTCATGAACCAGTAGATGGCCAGGCTAATCAAGTCATTGAAAAAAAGAGTGTTGAAAATATCAAAGAGGACAACGAGATAACTGTTTTCGATAAAGCGAATGGCAGAGACCAAGACAGAAAGCAACATATGGAAATAATCGAAGAAAATCGATTTGCAAACGATGCATCGTAGTTCTTGCATCATTTTTGTGAGAGTTGAATAAGTTCAGGAATACATTCTGCCATTACTCGTGAAAGGTTATTGTGGGCTACATGTAACCTCAAGGTCAACGAGTTTTTGCTACACATAGCTTCTAGAAACTCGTTTCGTAAGAGCGTTGAATACTGCTAGGAGAAACGTTCCTTACTCTAACACCGTATCTCAAAATTTAGAACCTAAGGTAAAATAACAAGACATTTGTCATCACGATGGAAAAAAATCGATAGGCCATAGGCTGAATACTGCATTCATTTACAATCATTCGTCAATTGGAGATTTGTAACGAAAATTTTCTCTTCACCTAAACACTAAAAGCTGGAATTCGTAAATAAATGTTGATATCACTTTTCAAATTATTCTAGAACAACTAATTCTAAGACCGTTATTGGACATCTTAAAACAAATTGTCGCCGTTAAGCAGGGAGTCCGACGCAATTTTTCAAAGCTAGGGGTTTTGTTGTTTAACCAGCAGTACCCAGTGTCGTCAAAGTCCCTGCTCAGTGCATGAAAAAGGCATTCCAACAGTTAACCTTGAAATGCTCAATTAGTGATCGCATTATTTTATTTTGAATCTTATGAAAACTAATTAATTAATCTGCAGATTTGATAAATTGCAGTGTAAGATTGTCACCATGTCTTTCATCTGCTGCTTGTTGCTTTTAATGATGAATACTTATCAGTTATTGAAAATCAAGTTTTCTACGTGTTTGTAATATACAGTTTTTGTAAACATTATCAGCTTTTTGAATTCAACGACAACTTGTTTCATTAGTTTTTAATATACCATTATTTGAACACAATATGATCTTTTTACATATGAATAACACTTGTCTCTATAAAGTCCTTTTCACATAGCTGCTCTTATCCTATTTAAAATTTATAGTCGCAGTTATTCCTTTTTATACAGTCGAAATCTCCTGAAGGGCTTGAAATGGTCTGACACAAAACACTTACCACTTCAACTCAGTAGATGGGCCTGACTGCAATCTATATGGACTAACACTAACATAGCAGTTTAAGGGCGTGTCCGGTGAGCGCAATTATCACTGTGTTTGCTCCTGGACTTTCTTTTTCTCGTCTCCACGAGAGCCACCAATAAATCGAGATCAATGGACGAATACTTGCAGTGATACCACAGAAGACACTCATTTCGATACAATTCCTCGTCGGTGAAGCCCAGTATCCGACGTCGAAAACGCCGAACTGATTCTGTTTCCTCGCACTTTCCAGCAGCATAGTTTCGAAAGGCGAGCTTTCAACGAACTTCTGAAGTCAGTCTTCCAGAAAATATAGAGGAAAAGATTGATTGTCAAACCTGTAAAGAAAACAGTCGTGCCTATTCGAAGGAAAAGCTCTTCCTTTAAGTTTTTGCCGCGAATTAGGCGAATAACTGCCAAAATAGCATTTGGTAGCCAGGAACAGATAAACGTAAATATCATTGCAAAACAGAGGTACGCGGTACGAGTTTCTCGATTCTTCAAAATACGACGTGATTCGCCTGATTCTTCGATTGTAAGAGAGTGTAGTATGCGAGTCTGACGACGAACCTCTCGCATCACAATCGAATTGACGAAAATCAGTGACATAAATCCCGTAAAAGCCGAAATATGCATAACTGTTATCATGGCAGTAGAAACATTTTCCTTTTCAGCATGTGCGAATGTAGCGATGAGTATTGTGACGATGCCAAAAAGGGCGATGCCTAACCCAAATCCAAATACTACCTTGTTTGCTTTCTTGCGAGTCATTCGCACGGAGTATTCAAGTGGATACATGATAGCAAGGTAACGATCGAGTGTGATGACACTGAGGCTTACCATATACGCCACTACGGCAAAAACGAAGTAGGACGAACTAAGCAGAAACTTTTCGGGCCTTTTTTCGTAATCACTGTAGCTGGAAAACAGCGATAAAGGAATACCAGCAGAAGAAACGAGAAAATTCGTAACGACATAACTTATTAGGAACTTATTCGAGGGCAAGTAGTGAAGTTCTTTGTCAAAAATGAACGCAGTTATAACAAGAATGGAAGTGACAGCTGATACCGAGATGATGACACAATCTAGAGTTGAAATGATGCTCATTGCATCCATAGCTTGATTTTAATTTTCCCTTGATTTTAAGGCAAAACTACTCTAGACATGTGCGTATACGGCGAGTCGAAATCTGCCGCAGTTGGAGTTATTTCAACTTCCTTTCTCGAAATAATCAGGATGGTCTTAGATAAATGGGTCTATAAATACAAATAGCTGATCCTGATCTTGCAAAACGTAAAGCTTGTTGTCGTTAATTAAAGAGCAATACGCCGGTGCAAAATACGCTTTTGCTGTGAATCTTTGCCCACCTTGTTGCTTATTAAAGAGCCAACAAAATTTGAGAATGTTAGGAAATCTATGTAAATCGCCGATTGAATGATTTAACGAAACACCATTGCTTTTTTGACAATTTTTGACGTCATCTGAATACCAGCTTTAAGAGGCAGTGCATCTACCGTGAATGCATTCCACAATTGTTCATTATAAAGCATTTGCTTGTTCTGTAATCAGTACGTCTTGCCAGTTAGTATGCCGGTCGCAAAAATTGTGCATAAGATAAGTATACCATTTGTATATACCCGGTTCCCAAATAATCGTTTTAAAAAACGACCGTCTAGTATTCTGACAACGGTTCCTTCGACAGTTTATCAGCTACTTCGTTGGCCTACGAAAAACACGCAAACAAATCGATAAGCTCTTCTGCAACCAAATCAACTGCAAATACTTGCCAAGGATATCTAGAATAGCATATCTCTACGGTATTGAAAACACTGTCAAAATTACGAAGCGAGTTCCATTGTAACCTGGTAAAAATGTAGATGATTATTCCTTAAATCAAAAACATTGAATGATTATAGAACAGATAAGTTGCAATTTTGAGCATTATACCTCATAACAAGAATACTAATTGAAGAAATTCCTCCTTGAATTCCGCAACAAATAACCAATCAAAGACACATCAACTTCCCTTGTAGGTTTGCCTTTCTGACTAAGCGCTCAAATCGATTCTCCTTTTTGCCTACACGAATACCTGGCTATTTGCTTACTGCTTTGTTAAGGACAGCAAAACGGGGGTTCAAAATGTTTTTCAGGATGCTCATCAGAATATATTTCAGACATCAAAATGCTTTTTACATGACTCTTTATTACAAAGAAATTGAACAATTATGATATTCAATTTTATCTCCACAGATCAATTTGTTTGTTTCCATGTAACAATCAACTTGCCAAACAGTTCCATACTAGAAAAATAGATTAAGATATTTACACACTCCCCCTTACCAACATAGGTACTTTTTCTATTAAAACCAAGCAGCTGAATTGACACTTACTGCTATAAGAAAAAATCAAACAGGAAGTTATAGAAGGACACAGGATGCTTATGAAACCTCTCATTCCACCCGTAAGCATTGTAAATAATGTTTATTTTTTCGATCAACACTTCAGATATGATATCTTGCTTGAGCGTATAAAAGCAATGAAAGGCTTTACCTTTTTTATACAAGATTCGCTAAATTCTGGCGTGACGTCAATGTATATAAACATCGCAGGTATAAGCGAATGAAAAATAGGCACGCACAACAGAACTTCCCACTCAAATGATGTGTACTGCACGCAATCACAAGGTTCTTGCTCAAATAAGCAATTGTGATTTGACACGCATAGTTGTAAAGCATATGAAAAGAAATATCGCAAAATTATTTGTGAAATGATCTCAATCTTAACCAACTCCCTGCCATTAAAAGTCTTTTAATGTGTATCGGACACATCCAAGGTTCTTTCTAAAAAAACCATTTTGATTTTCAAGGAGAAAAGACAGTTTTTGAGAGAAACATCAGCTGCGCCCTTTTACATTGTTATATCTACTACTGCTTTAGATTGCCAAACTGAGGGTTCGTAACTTTGTTGAAAACCGAGGCTTCAAAAGGAATTTTAAAAAGAAAGATTTCTTTTTCTGAGAATGTGTGTGCCTATTTCTGAATCAAACTTGCGAGGAAATCTTGGTCGATGACAGGGGATTGGACTTGAGAAAACATATTGTAGGGCCTTACGATACAATGTGGTGTAAATGACAAAGACAGAGAGTGTGTAATAATCATGAAAAACTAAAAAGACTAATGAATTATAGTCTTCCAAAAACATGCATTTTTTCTATCCAAATATCAGACACAGCAACACATATCCGAATCGAAACCCATTTGCAGTAGACCAAAGAAAGAGAACCAAGAATTAACATATGTTTTAATGACTGAAGACTGGATACATATCAAACCAAATTAAGTATTTGCAAAAAACGCATACAGACAGGTATATACTCCAAATCTGTCACATTTGCTGGGCACCACTTCTTGAAATATTTGAAGTTCTAGAGGTATCAGATGGCCCAATAGCTCTACGCTCTATACAAAATAGTTTCTTTAACGATTTTCGTACATCTCTTTTCAAGAAAACATACAAAAAAGGATTAAGCACGTGGTTCAAATGGAAAAGAGACGTTCTTGCTCTAATGTATAAGTGATCTTCTTTGACATCACGTGATATTACAAACATCAGACTTGATATAAGATTTGGCAGCCAGCAGACGGTGAAGGAGCCAACCAGCAACAGGCATAGGTATGCTGTTTTATGGGTACGACGTCGAAGGTGACGATGAACAGATCCATCATCTCCAATAGTTGTGCTACGAATATGACGTATTTGCCGGCGCACTTGCTTGAAGATTATCACATTGGCTGACAGCAAGATAGCTATTCCCGCTAACGAGACAATAATCAGTATATAATGAGCAATGTCTGCGATCTTGAAGGGATGCTTGTACCCAAAAAATGACGATAACATGGCAGCTATTGAGAGCAGTAATACAGCAATCCAGAAACACGCAATAGCGAAATTTGCATTTCTACTGCTCATGATCTGCTGGTATTTATATGGAAATTTGACAGCATAAAACCGATCGACTGTGACTAATATAAGGGCGATAGTATATGATATAAGTGAAACGATGAAAAACGAAGATAGAAACAGGAATCTTTTCACAGAGTTGATATTATCACCCTTCTTTGAAGATAACGCAAGAAGCATCCCCGTGGCAGCTAGCAAGAAGTTGGTCATCATGAAGTTAAACAGAAGTCGATTTGACGGCAACTGTCGAAACTCACGATTGTGTATGAAGAGCACAATAATTACGATGCTTGAGAAGATTGAAATTCCAATAAGAACCGTGTCAACGATCAGGAAGAGAAGATTCACGTCTATAGTGCCAGCCATTTATAGCAAGAGCAATGATTCGATTCGGCGTGTAATTGAAATCTGTAACTAACATAAAATATGAGTCAAAACATCTTCCATTCCCGTGCAAGTTAGACTGCTAAACAATCGGAGCCCGTTAGCTGTTGATTATACGTTTTAATCACTTGCAAAACGTTTTCCAATACAAGTTCTATCAATCATCCAATTTGAATCGAAAAACTTCCTTCAAATATCAATAACGAAAGATTTTCTAAATCACCAAGGGTCTTGCATCAACACTAGACAGAAGACAATAAATAAAGTCATGGGAATGATGTCTTCAAAGAGGTTAGCTGATTCTCTTGTCACGATGGTATACAAGCTTGAAGGATGCTTCCACTTTTTAAAACAATATCAACAATGCCAAAGACTGCCAAACCATGTATGACGTAGTTATTGGCTATTTAACTTGAGAAGTCCCACTTGATATCGGTAATCAATGACCCAACATTTCAACAGGTGTCCTACTAATGAGCAACCCGATAATCATCGAATTTCGTATTGCAGGTCAAGGCAGGAGGGCGAAATTTCCTGTGTTGATCGTCACAAAAATTCAAACAAAACAGTGGAGTACCGCTTTTTGCGTCTCTTCTATGATATTATCATTCAAGATACAAAACAAACGAAGAAGATTTGAGAGAAATAGCGCAAACTAGAAAGAGCGATTGGCAATTAAAGTAATCTAGCATCCAGGGGATATTCGGCAGCATTGTGTGACTCCACAGGTATCAATAGAAAAACCTGAATTCGCAAACTACATTTCAGCATGTTTACATTTATTCATATTATACAGGTGAGATTATTTCCAGCGGACAGCAGATACAGCACAAAAATGATGATAATAAGGTTGGAAAAACGCTAGAATGACACGGCCAAATAGAATGTTCTCTTCAAGAAGAGAGAAGCAGTTTTGAAACCTTAGCAAAGACCATTCATTCATGATAGTTAAATCTCTTTAAATTTGAATTAAAATTTGCGCTGTATACCAATTTTTGCAAATGGAATTAACCAAAGTGAAATTTTTCCAAGCAACGAAACATACCAAATGCTGATTTACATTTTGAGCACAGTTTATGTTGCTTATTAAACACTATTATAAATATAAATACATGTAAAAGATGGGCAACATCAATTCAATGATGACTTCCAGCACATCTCCCTCAATGGTAGTAAGCAGAATGTACTTATCCCAATAAGTGTAAAATAAGTGGTGACATTCTTACAGTAGGATTCACATACATATTCCTTGGCTTCTCAAAAAAAAAGTTACCTCGGCAATACTCAAAATTGTTTCTCTGCCTCATCAGTCAGCTCGCCTTCCTTCAGTCTCTCTTTGAGCTTTGCAATATCTACGTCCTCGTTTTCTTCCATTAGAGATTGCCACCATGGCTGTTGCTGTTTTCTGAGCACCTCGTTGTGCTGGCGTCTTGCAGCAACAGCAACTGGTACAGAACGAGACGAGAGCATTTCCACGTCTTTTTTAGTCACTTCCGTCAATTTGGGAGTACCTTAAGCGAACATAAAAAATTTCACCAAGCTGCCTGGATTACCTTAACAATACATACACCTTAAACCTAAAGTGGTTTAGTTTTTCAAAGAAAAGGTTCATTAAAAGAAGTCTGCATCTAGCGCAAATCTAGCTGAATGCTACTTAATGCTGCATTGATAAAAAGATTTTCAAAAATTTCAGGCATATTATAGACAGGTGAACAGCTGCCTGGTAATTGCACTAATCTTGAAACTCGGCGTAGCAGCTTAAAGCCGTTCTGTTCTACTGGTTTTGCTGCAAATATGACAACAGATTATTGTTTGGATTTCTGGGCAATGATAAAAAAGCTGTTGTCAATGCCATGTCATGTAAAAATTTTAGTGATGATTTGCCTAACTTTTCTCTCTGCTGAAATGTTCATCTGTGAATCAGCTAAAAAAGCTTTGGGCCTTAAAGTGCCTATTCCTTTCTATTCCTTATGGTTCTCAATTTAAAAAAAAAATCTTCTGCCACAAAGAGAATTTCTTCCATTAAAGATTCGAGATAGTTCCAGGAATCTAGTGAATTGTCGATATCAATCATATCATTATTTGCACAATAGATAATTCGTGAAAGCAAATGCTGACAGTGTAAAAGAGTAGGGGTAGTTTCGTCATAAAAATTTGCTTTCGGGTTTTTTGGAGCAAATTATTTCAATGGACATTTAAAAACAATCGCACTTATAAGAAAGCGGTAGGGAACACTGACTCCATCCTTTTTAGATCACTGCAATTTTGACTTTGCTTCGAAACATAAGAACAAATCCAAGAAAACAACAGAAATCCTTTAGCAAAATGTATGTCCTTTATTGGTTACATCATTTCTAAGGGATTTTATTGCTTTTGCACACTTAGATACAATCTTTGGTGTTTTTCGGATAATTAGTTTCGAATTATAAATTCTAAAAATTTATCATCAATAATTTTTTTTATAGAACTCTTTCCTACAGACAAAATATACGCTTCAAGAATAAAAATTAATTATTGCAGCTTCTCTGCAGAAAAGATTAGGCGGAATAAATAAGGGAAATAAACATTTGTTAATCCCAAGCGTAGCTCAGTGACTATATAGCAAGCAGAACACGTGACAAGGGCTAATAAAGCTACAAATTCTCAAAGCCAATAAAGCTACAAGTACTATATAGAGCATAACGATTTACAAGCTGACTTACTCAAAAACGTTTCGCTGTCAACATCAAGCTGTGCCAGTAAAGCCTTTCGTCTTTGGTGGCTTATTCTCTCCATACGAAGGCCCATTACATGGTTGTTTAGCATGGAAAACATCTAAATGATGAAATACTACAGTCTTAAAAAAACAAGCAATAATACTTTAGGTGAAGACACTAAAATAAAGATCTATGGAAAAGGAGGCAGAAACAAAAGATAACAGCAGTGACCTTGCAAAATTTTTGTTCAGCAGGCTAGCATTCAAACATTCAGGATGATGACTCTCTACACACTGTCAATGCGATATGTATTGAACTGTCTCTCCCTGATTGGAAAACAAAGCTGGACCTCTTTGTATCAATGTTATCAAGGAGAAAAGCTAGGTAGTGTTATTTTATGTCATCATGTCATTAACTCAATAAAAATGAGATTTATTTGTGTAGCCGTTTCCGATTTATGTCGTTTAAAGAGTTTATACATTGTCTTCCACAAAAATTATCGTAAGCAAAAAAATAACTTGCCTTTTCATTGAGCTGTTGGAGCTCATCAAACGGCTTCGACTTCACCTTGAAATTTAAGGAAAACTGAAAATTTTTAGAACAATCAAGCTTGCCAATATCGTAGGAGCACTAACATTGTATAACTTTTAAAAGATTCTGCCCATATCCTGGATATAGCGTTGCTTCATATCAATATCAAATCGTTGCCAGCGAAACTGAACATTTTATATAGATTCGAGCACCTCAGGAACCTTGGGTAAATCGATCGAGTAAATCGGTTGGGTATTTCGGACATCTTTGGTACATCGGACACCTATTGACAAGGATTTATCTATAAGGAAAATAACTATACAAAATCAAAAGCTTTTTTGTAGATCTGCATCAAGACCAAGAAGGCGATTACACGACACCGCCCTCGTTCCATATTGTTTTCACCAGGGTCCTACCTTAAAACCACATTCCCGGGCATCTTCATGCAAAAGGAAGGCCAATATGTAATAATATTTTGCCGTACCCATCAATGACATATGTCGTACTTCAATGAAATCGATCTTACTAGATTTGTTTCTCCCTCATTGAATCTGCTGGATCTTGCTAAGTAGTAGTATTGAAATTCATGTCTTTCAACCCTGGTTTTAAATTTATCTTTAAAAATCAATGGTAACGCAAATATGGTAAATAAGGCAAAAAGCTGTTATTGCCTGAAGGTTTGAGAAAAATAAGGCTTTTTTGGTATAAGATCATGACTTATACATTAAGAGCACCTGAAAATAAAATCACCACAAATCACAGGGAAGCGACGTCCAAGAGAAAATACAAACCTCGTATTTTTCTCTCATTTTTGCAATAAGGTTTTGCAGCAAGGCCCTACGTTCATCAGTAAGTCCATGCGGAAAGAGCTCTGTGTGGAATGCACCTTTTTTCGCTCTACATTTGGCAAGCCATTTCCGAACCTATCATGTAATGGAAATAGTCTTACTTTAAATCAATATCCAATCAACACACTACCCAGAAGCAATTGCATTTTACCCATCTAAACAAGCACGGTGAAAAATAAACACCATTTTAAGAGTTTCGGTCAGTCAGATCGTTCCAACATCTCACGATTCCTTTAGCACGTTTTATTAGTGCAGCCTAAAACATTTTGACCAACGCAAACCTTTTCTTTCTAAAAAATTTTGTTTTACGTTCAAATGGCAAGGTATTGCACTGAATATTAATTAGGTAAATTTGGGTGCCCAGCATTGAAACATGAGGATTTTCTAACAAATATGGTAAAAAATAAAACGGAAAATTTACTTTTATCATGTCGAGAAAAATGAAGTATATAAGGAATCGTTTTCATATCGAATAGTAGCACTTATTTATATACCGCTGTGAAAAATTACTACATTTAATTCATTCAAAGTAAAGAATTGCACCAAAGCAGGTACTCAAAGCTTTATTGTTTACATGAAATTGCGTTGTCGATAATAAGAAAGTGCCAATTTCCAGCATAAAACAACTACATATGAAAATCGGGTGAGAATTTAGGATCTTGCCTGTTTTTGTATTTTGACAGCTGCAACAATCCTTCTGTGCTCAGCTAACTGTGGTTGGATCTTCTTCCTAGTCTTGAATCCACGCCATCTTGATTGTATCTTTGACGCAGCGTCGAATTCTACGCGTTCCAAAAACGTGTTAACTGTTTTGGCAGGAATGTTTTGGATGATCTAAAAATGAAAATAAACTCAAGAGGAACTGAAATGATTTTCTTAGCAGGAGTAAATTCCAGCAAAATGCTTATAGCCTCGAGTAAGATTTTGAATGTAATTTTCTCAAGAATCGACAACCTTATGACACTAGTAGGACACAAAAAGCAAGCCTTAAGAATCAAAGATGCAAATAGTAAACTCTGGTTGATGGTAAACACAAACCTGCAACTGCTTGGTCCTAGATGACAAAAATTCATTTCTTCGTCTTGACTTCTCAATTTCTTCTCTTTGATGTCTTTCTTGATCCTGTGTTTTTTCTTGTTCTGTTCTTTTCCTCTTTTCTCGATACATTCTTTGAAACATGCCAATTGCTTTATTAGCTTTACTCAGTTTCTTCCTTGTCAAATGTCCACGATAGACAGACTGAATCAGAGCGGCAGCTTCATTTAGTTTCTAGAAGAAAATATAGGAACAAAGTGCAAAGACAAAAACGAAATTAAAAACGGTAGTTGATATTACAGACACCACGACGTTCAAGAGTTTACAATCTCAGTGTTGTTCGATGTTGATACCTCCAATGAAAAAACACACAGCTCCAACTTTGCACAGGAAAGTGGTAAGGAATTAAAGACGTTTGGGTCTATATGACTAGGTAATGTGTAGGGAAAATAGGTCGAGAAAATAACACTTAGAGACTTATTATACATGCCTAAAAGCTGCTAATCGATCATTGTTTTTGCGATCAGCAGTAAGCGTCTTTAGAAGAAGTATAAAATCTTCCCTTGATATGATATCGTTTGAATTGAAAATACTGCATACATTCAGGTGATATGGGGATGGCTTAATCGTTGTTTCAGCAGCAACGTGCACAAAAGCATCACAGTTAGGGCTGGACACACGCAGCAGCTGTGCCATAAAGAGCAAAAATTATATCCATGTTCAATCTGGTTGAAAAAAAGCAAAGACTTAGCAGACAAAACCATACCACTATTTCCAGTTGTTGAGCTGATTTAGCCTCTAGTACTGTGGTCAGTCTTTGAAGGTCACCGTCAAAGCCGCGGCCTTTCCATTTGCGTAAGTATGATCTTAAGCCTCTGCAAAAGACATCGTATTTTGAAACTAAACCTCGAATTCTGATGTTATTAACTCAATCTCAAAAAAATATATTTTAAATAAGCCCATTATCAATACACGACTTTAAAATATACATTATGCACAAAGATACTTTAGTCTCCAAGGAAAAAAGATGTCTAAAATAAAATTTACTTGCTACTCATGGGAATCAAATTTGTCTTGAGGCAAACAAGTAAAATTACAAGAGAATCAAAAGAAACAGAAAAACAAAAGTATTTTTTAAACTAATTTAAAAAATAGCAGGTCACTGGAGTAAGCATTGCGGCAAGCGAAGGAAGTGGCAGACACCCTTTAATGAACCAATGCAAAAGAAATAAGATTACATGTTTTGAAAGCTAAATTTGATTACAAATATAAAAAAATAATATTTAATAAGATCAGACAGTTCTGAATTTCAAAAGATGCTAGCAAACAAGTCTTTGCCGGAAGAAAAAGCTCTAACGGAGCCAAACACTATGCGGTTACAACAAAATGTACTATTTCCCTTTATCATGTAATTATATACAATAATATTTCAATGTAAGAGGACAACAGCTTCCACAGGGAAAAATGTGCAATCATATCTCGATGTACTTGCACTTGCAAATATTGAGCAAAGCAAGAAGTTTCTAGGCTTTTGTATAAACTTTCCGTATTTTTCTTACTATTTTGTTCTTAAGTGAGTTTTTCACAACGTTTCACAGTATTCTTTATAAGACATTTTCTTAAAATTGCGCAGAAACTAGTTGTCAACAAATTTCCGACTACACTTATTTTGAAAAAGGTAGTGTTAGTAGACGTGACTCTGATTTGAATTTTTTTAAACCAAAATTTAAAAAGATTAAGATAAACAAATAAATAGTTTGGATGCAATACCTGTAGCGGCGAGAGGAAAGCAAATCCAAGAGAAGAGAGTATAAGTCAATGCAAAGTAACAACACACGCATTGCAGAACTGTCGAAAGAAGGAAATTGATAAAGAAAAGGTATGAATGATAACATACTTGGTAACTAAACCACATGAGCAATAAAGCCTCTTTATAACAAAAGGAAGAGCAGCTGTAGGGCAGATGATGTCTATATTCGTAAAATTTACCCAATTCGATAACAAATATATTCCATCAAAGGTGATTAGGTGAAAATAGAGCCATTTATTATATCTTGGATTTTACGGCCCGATGTCAAATTTTAATTGAAGTTAAATGACTGTACATGACTTGATTTAATCAATCTTTGCATTATTTATACAAAAAGTCCCGTCATCTAGTGTATACTTCAAAAAAACATTTATTTAAAATTCAAATATAATAAAGGCTAAAAATGGGTGCTTTACTTCTTGGAAGGCGTGTTTTCATTAGCATTTAACTTAACAAATGTCTATTTTTAACAGGCACAGAGTACGAAGTTCCTTGAATAAATTGGGATTTCATTCCAGACCTTAGCTTGCACACTTCATATGGAAAAAATAATAACAAAAAGGCTTTTGCATGAATCCTCTATCTGTTTCGATTGCTAACTTAAAAAACAACCAGAAAGAAAAGTACCTGGCGACTGAAACATGCTGTGTTGAGAAAATTTTGAAGACAATTTCATCAATTACCCCGTGAAGTCGTGATTGACTAAGGTCTGCTAAGCAGTTCCTGAAAATCAATCAAATCTTTATCAGAAAATGACATTAACAATAAACATTGACAAGCCATAGAATTTTTGGGTGGATAATAAATAGTGAAAGCTATAAGGTGAACCTATCATACTGCTAATTTCTCTAAAACGTGAAAATTCACTGATCGAAAACAGTTCAGTCAAAACGACCGGTCTTACGTCAAGATGGTCTTATGTGGACCATTTGTCTATCTCACAGTACACATATGTCTACTTTTAGAGCTTAGTTATCGCGCTTGACTACAATGCTTGCTTCTTCAAATATAGTTTTGACCCATGATTTTTCGCTTGCTTCCGCCACCCTCCTGTGTCAAATAGGCATCAGGATAGCAACGCAGGGAAAACATCAAACCGCACAGCTAGAAAAAGTGCACTCTCTGCCTACAGACGATTCCCCTACCCACGAAGTGTAAAGAAATTGAATGGCTCTTAATTTGTCATAAAATTTCATAAACTTTGATAAAACTTTGATAAACCAATTTTTTTTCGATTAATTCTCGTCGAATGAATCTATTTCATTTATGGCCCAGATAGCAAAAGCAATATAATACCACAAAAGCAAAGATCAAACTTTACAAGATGATGGTGTTAAAAAATTAAGGACATGTTTTCTCATACAGTTTATGTTGGACAATCCCTAAAGCTCAATTGCTGAGATCTTGAAACACAAAGCAACAAAAAACTAAATATAGAGAATATGTTTTCTAGCGCATGAAAACTTCAAAAGAACGACCATTTTTCACAGAATCATTCAGTACCTTCTATTAATGATTCAATTTTAATGAGAATTAAATTATCATGATCTTATAATCTTCACGTCCTTGTTTGAATTTTCATTGGCTTACATAAAGGTTGTAGCACGAAGGAGTTTCACAGAAGGTCAAATCTGCATTTGAAGAAAAAGCTAAAAATAGAAGAATCAATTTAAAAACATACATGTCAGCTCGCAGAATGTTCTGAGTTAGAATCATCATAATCAAGCAAGTTTGTTCTTCCTCTGTCATTAGCAACTGCATGTACTTTTTTGAAGATATCACTAGACAATTGAAAATTATGAATGAGAGCAGTAAAAGATGACAAGAGATACTTGGCAGCATAGGTCAGGAGATAACTGGCAAGATAACTGTATTTTCCCAGATAAAATTCACATAAACATAAAATTTTCGAAAATAAAAGGACTTTAACTAGAGGAACAAAAGGACAAAAGGATCTATGTTGATTTCAAAACACGATTAACATTCTAGCAAAATTTTGCTATTGATTCAAACAGAAGCTTTTTGATAATCGATAGATGATATAGGATAAAAAAGCAACATCCAAGGTAAGAGATCAGAAATGGTGAAATAGAGTACTTCTAAGTATCTTCTTCTAGCTACATTTTATCTTTGGAATGATAGCACTGAATCACTGGAAATCAACCAGCACTCTCACATGACATCAATGCATCATTGACAATATAATTATAAAATTTGCAAAATTAGTTTAAACTCATTGCAAATCAATGCAGAGATATAGGACATGAAAAAACTGAGTTTTGCTAACAGATGAATAAGAATCAAGAACAAAATGCAGTTAATTGATGGGGAAACAGCCTGTGCCCATGTGGCCATATCTCACCTAATATTTGACAAAGTTAGCTGAGGCTAGAGGTATTTTAAACTGCTATCGCAGGTTATAGAGCTCTATGTCCCACAACCTTTCAATGGAATTTTCCATCAATTCCTTTGGCTTTAGCCCCCAATTTTTGCAAAATAGCTCCCCCCACTTTTTTTAGACCCGCACTTTTCTCTATGCTTAATGATGCCTGCACATACCACACCACACAGCCTTTTGTTAACTCTGAACAGTTAACTGGGACAAAGTGCCTTTTATTTTTACAATTTTTGAATTTGGATATGACAACCCAAAAGAGAATAAAAACATATACCACATGCACTACCAATTACATGTTCCATAATATGGCAAATAAATTGCCACTCTTCCATTATCATATCAATGTTACTTGGTTTCTATTCTAATGAGCTTAGCCAAAATAAATGCAACCTGGTAGCAAACTTCAAATCTTTCATTAACCATATCTGAACCAATTTTCAACATATTTAATTGATTTGCACTAACTTGAGTTATTTTGATTTCAGATTCATTTAGGTTACATGATTAAAAGGAAATTAATTCTGAAAATAGATTGTTTATTTACTTCAACCATATAGAGTTCAAATTGAAAAATACTAGCAATAGATTTCTGAGAATTTATTAATGATAGCTGATCACTTTGACTGACCTAACTGAAATGAGATTTGCTACAATCTCATGGGGTTATTTTGATAAACAGTCAATTAAATTCAAGTATAATCTTCAAGGTATTACCTTGTAATGCTAGAAATTTGTAATTCTCAAACAACTTTGTCAGTGACTGCAAAACAACTCTTAGGTCTTGCAAGTGCTGCTTTTTTTGAGTGCCCTGAAAAAAAGATTGCAAAATAATCATTGTAGTGTAATTCTGTATTGGAAGATAAATGTCAAAAAACTTGATCCTGTGACTGATTTTGATAGAAAGATATTTTCCGATTAGATTTGGTGACAGTTGGGAAAAATTTAGAGATGGTATTATCAGACTGTAAAAACTCATCAAAACTTACTGTTCCACGAATACCAGTAAAGAAGAATAAATGATTGCTTAGGGCATATCAAGTAATCTGCACAGGTAAAATTTTGTTTTTGTAACGACTACATTCCTAATGAATGTTGAACTAAAAATATAACACAATTAACAGCAGCAATAACTTAAAACACATGCTATTTTAAAAGAGAAAGAAAAGGTCAATTAATAGCTAATACATACATCAGTTTCTTCAATCACCTTAGCCTGAATCTTCTCTGATATGTTAAGCATTGATTCTACCACATCAGGAAGAAATTTTTTTCGAAACTCAGCCTTTTTTTCGGGGACATAACCAAGGCATGCTGAGCAAATTATGGTTGATAACTCTGCTGCAGTATGCCAACAGCCTTCTATGCTGCTAAAGTCCTGTTTGAGGGCTTCGCAAGAGAAAATAAAAAAATGGCTTAAGTCCTGTAGATTTTGCCTAAAAGTATTTATTTTTAATCATATTCTTGCAGGCCTTTTCATAAGAAATAGCCCACGCGGGTGGCTCATCGCTTGTGTGATTTCTCTTGCGCAAGTGATTGCTCTGATAATGATAACAATGATCCTGTTATAAGGTACCCTTTTGTTTGAGGTAACATCAAATAAAAAAGAACTGTTGACATGAACTGAAATGCACTCCAAGAAAGACTAAATCCCTTTTATAAGTGTGCTTCATTTATAAACTTTATGTACATCAGGAAGGTCATATACACGTTGTTGCCAGATGATGGCAAAATGTTGTTCCATGCCTTTTTAAAAATGCTTTAACTGCCCATAAAATGTCCCAAGTGCTATTATAGCTCAATACTAAGTACCTAAAGTATTCTGACACATTGGACGTGGCATTGATTTTCAAATGCATCTTTTCATTGAAATGTGGTTAAGTCAGCTTACTTATACTTCCTTGTTTTAATATACTAGCTTTTTATTGTCTGGGTTTGGGTTGAAAAATGACTAGAGTTGTTTTAATTGAATTGATAAGACATTTATTCCACAAAATTTACCTTTTTGCAAGAGGAAGCAAATGCTCGCGTGGTTAGGTTTGCGGGAGTGGTCGCTTGTGTCAAACAAAAAGGCCTGTTCTTGATAAAAGTTTATAAAATAATGTTCGACAATGTGCTATGACATTGGTTAGCAAAAACTAACAAAGAAATGCAAAAAAGATAGTTATGTTGAACATAAATCTGTTTTGGATCAAAATCATAAAAATAATTATAATTTCATTCCTTGATATTGATTATAAAATGATAGCAATTCCATAAGCAACAAAGGGATCTCATACTTAATAATCAGGAACTGATCCAAAAACCTTGTTATTCTAAAAATACATGACTACTTTATAGGTGCATACCAAGATATGTAACATAAGTAAGGTCGTAATTCCAAAGGTCAACTCTTATTTGTCTTGCTTCGGGAGTACCAATGATATAACCAGCAAGGATGCCTAGAAGAGATCAATTTATATGAGATATTTATGAGAGCAACTGAGGCAAATATTAAGTGATATTAAGTAGTTGAAGGCCCTTGCAAATCAGTTGAAGCAAATTTTATTTTTATTCTTTTCCTTCCTTCTTCAATCTAAATGCAAGAAAAATGTATGGTGCTATAATGTTAACTAAAAAGCAGAAACCAAACAGTGTAAACATCATCTGAATGATCAAAACAAATATTGCAACTTCCAAACATAGGGGCAGGAGTATGCTCAGAGGTCATAAGACAGCAAGTTGAATATCCAATCAAGAATACTAAAAGCAAAAAAACTGCACAAAAGAATATCCTGCTAAGGGAAAGTTATGTTTTGGTATTTGTATTTGTTTCTACCTAGCATCTGAAGGTAGTTTTTAGGACAATGAGAAGCTTATGCTTATAGAGCAGTGTCCTGGTCCTTCCTCTCGATGTGACCATACCTCCTGAATCCTATGCTGGAATTTCAGAGAGCTGGCGACTCTCCTTACTGTGGGTGAAAGTTTGGTCGTACGGAAAGTTTGAAAGTGCTTCTAACAACTGAGCCATCCTCACACCTAATCCATAGAAAGTTATGTTAAAAAGGAAAACCACCTAATCCATAGAAATAAACATCCCTTGAAAGCAACACAGAGCATTGGTTTTGTCACCTTTGAGACCCAGTAATAATAATGGCACATTGGCATCACTGGTCTCTGCAACTTCTGCAGCTATGTGCAGAATTCATCTGTCAGATGGCAGTGAGGTCATTTTTCAGGACTTGGTGCAATGAAAAGCTTATTTGAGCACATCATCTTCTGAAACAAGAAATAAGCTTTTAGTTTTTTAAACATATTTGTTTGAAAAAATCACAAGTAACCATGAACTAGCAGTTTTCGTATCATTTACAAGAAACAAAGCTTCCCCACCAAGATATAAACAGAAAGTTTAATTATGCTAGGACAGTAATATTTATTTATACTTCTTCTCTCTCTTGTGCTAATCTTTATAGCTTTGCAACATTCTATTCACATCAACTCCAATATCAAACATATTAGGCATAACCATTTAATACATGCCACATTTAATACACAAATTCACACATGCTCTGTACCTAAATTCCTTAACATTTTGACTGAATTCATTATCCTATCAATGACTGCACTGTATTTTTTCATGAACATGAATGGAAGTTGTCAATGAAAAACACATTTATTCAAAACCAATCTTTCAAAAAGGAACCTGACTGTGATCTGTTCTCTCAAGCTCATTATTCCACAAAAATCTAAATGCTGAAACTGTTTTGCAAAATTCAACTCACAAAATTGCAAATTCAGTTTTTATTCAATGTAAACATTTGGTTTTCAGCAAGGTCAATCTTCAATCTTCAATAGTTAACTCCTAAAGGCTTTACAACCAATCTGGAGTAAAATAATAATAAAAAAAAAAAAAATTTTTTAAATTTTGGAAAAGGAAAATTAACTTAGGAGTAGGATTAATACCATTTCCATCCAGCGCTCCAGCTTGTTAATTTCTACAAAATGTTGCATTTGGTTTTGGTTCAACAAATCCAAGTCAAATTTGCTATTTGAAGAACAACCATTTATTAACTTACTATTATAGGATCAAGAAAACTTCACCTTTGAAAATTGGTCAAAATTTTTGGGAAATTGAGTTTAATAAACGTTAACACAGCATAATTTTATAGCAGAAAGATCTCGATTCTTTTGCTACATTCATAGGGGTATAACACTTAGAAAAAAGAGCCAAAACAAAGTAAAACCTCCAAAGAGCTATTTTTCAGTTCGCATAATTTGCACACAGGGTCAAATTTCAAGGGGATGTGTCTTATTTATGTACGCTAGAAAATATTGTACCACTTTTCAATCATTGCTGTAACTATACATATGATAATATAAATAGTTTCGCAACATAAATATGTTTTCTTATGAAAACAGTCTGAACTCTAACTGCCCGCAAGGGATTTCTGCCCTTTGAAATTTTTATAATTTCATCAAATACCTAATTAACACTTACATTTCGATCATAGATAAGCCTAGATTGCAATTTGTTTCAAATTTTAGTTTTTTGCATCATACTTGCGTTCTGTTTTCACTTCCTCTAAAGTTTGAGTTTACCAGTTGTTGCCGCTGGATTGTTTTACTTTATGTATGCATGGTTGTTTCAATTCTCCTTCGCAGCGGCGTCCATGCGACGTATCATTCTGAATCGCAACATATTTTGGGAACAGAAATGCTGTAACTTCATTCAGTTACAAAAGAAGGTGAATATTTCAATTATTTTCGCCAATGAATAAAAAACCTGCTCAAAATAAAGAACGGTAGACAAAGACACATGGACTAATAGTGACGCGAACAGACTCACAGCGACCATAGACTCATAGCGAGGCTTGCACATCATCAACAACAACGCGAAACAAAATAGCTCAAAACATCTTTTCAGCAGGAATTGGGAAAACAAAAAAGTCGATCGATTTCTTGAAGTTGGAAAGCATGGGATGTTTCTAAGAATTATTGTAAGTTTCTCGAAGTTTTCTTCTGATGAATATTGATGTAATCCTCCCTTCCGGGTTGATGTCCTTGATTTTGCGCAGCTGAGCTCGCTAGCTATCTGCACAGAGACCACCCCAGACCTTTCTCAAAAATTGACTTAAAGATCTGAAATCGTTTGAAATTAACTTATACTGAAAACCTAATGTCATTTAGTCTGTTCTGTCGCGAGTTACTTCAATTTGAATATTTGGGTATTTCTTTAGATTTGACGGGAGTTTGCTGCTGTAGTGAAAATATTTCACTTCAGCAACAAATCCCATTGAAATGTACTAGATATAGTGAAAAAGCTAAATTTTGAGATTGAGTATTTCGCTGCCTGACGGCCCAAACGGCATGAACTTTTCGACACAGTCAAACGACATGTGAATTGCCCGGATGTGACTGAGCTGCTTCACACACAAAAGATGTTCACTGCTGCAATAATTATGTAAAACTTTTGTGTAAGTGTAGTCTCGACTGAATTTTTACAAATGCAATCTTTAATTTTTTGCGCTGCACAAAATAGATGATTTTCTGCAATGAATGAATTTTCAAATGATCACATAATATGATGATGAAGCAAAACATGAATGGCAGATATTTGTTTTATTGTGTTTTTCTATGATTGAATAGGTAATCAAATTCACATTTTTTTTGTCAAAACAAGTCAAAACTTTACACATAATTTAACATTTTCTTGCTACCAACTTTTAGAAAAGTCAAGATACATAAAGGGACTGAGATGAAAACTTAAAGAGAATACGTTGTACCATGTTGATTTAAGATTGCATTTCTTTTTCTTTTCAATGAAAAATTAACAGTGATTATGTATTTTCTTCATGCAATAATGTACTTTCTTCATGCCTTTTGGACTGTATTATGTACTTTTTCATGCAATATTTTTTTGACTTATGTGTAGGATAAAATCTAGCCGCTTGAATAATGGCTGCCAAAAGTGAAAGTAAAGACATCCTAGACCCAGCGGTAAGATGACATGCATTCTCAAAAGTCTTAAACCAAACGATATTTTCATTTGATAATAGGTTAGAAATTTAATATAAATATTGCTTAGCATAAACATTGTAAAGGCAAACAAAAATCATCTCAAAACTGAGGTTGCTCATAAGTACATGCAGCTTTTTTGAAGGTAGCTTCTATTCAACCCTGGTTTTCATTTGAAAAAATACTGTCATTTTATGCACTTTTATCTGCATTAGGTATCCAGACAACTAAATTTGTTACTGAAAGGGGTTATTACCAGGCTCATTTCTATACCAGCTCTTGTAAACACTTCTTCGATGTAAAAATATGTCACCTACAAATTCCACCATATTTGTTGAATACATCACACTCCTATATGGTTTTATTCACTGTCTAACTCTCAAAACCATATAATAGTCATAACCGTTTTCATCACATACAGATAAACATTCACGAAACTGTTTAAAGTAAAGTAAAGTAATTCTTTGAAAAAGCATTTAAAATATGGTCCAGTTCTTGGATTATGGTCCAGGTGTATCACATTTCCGGTAAATTTGGTAAAATACCTTAATGGTAAATTTTTTATTAATATTTTTCAAACTTCTTTACTTTAGGACCCATTTGTACAATATATGTATGAGATGATAGACTATTTGGCTCTTGGTGTTTGCTTTGATGTTCACCGAACTGTAAGACTTGGAAGGTTTCATTTAGATGATATTGACAATGAGTAAGTGACTAATGATGCCAGGTTGACTGATATTTTAATTTCATGTTATACCTTCAGAATGCCTCTGTGTGACTGATTTTCTTTATATATAAAATAATGCTAAAATTAAGTTGATCGGAAAAACTAGCCTGTGAAAGACAAATTGATATGAACTTTATGCTTATTTTATTGATACATTTGATCATTGTCAAAATTTGATCATTCCTCAAGCCAATCACTCTTTGAATGTTCCTTCATGTTTCGAATCTCCTTCATTGATCTGAAAATTAATATTTCATAGCTTGATTTAGAAAAAAATATTTAAATTCACCCATTCCTTTAATTCTTGTATGTTTTTTGATTAATAAAAGCTAAGTTTCAAAAAATTCTTATGAAAGATCACTTTTCATTCTAGGTCGCAAAAAGACTTCAGTAAGTGGAGAGTCCCAAAAAACCTGTTAAATATATCATTTTTTATTTCCTGTTATTCAATTCGTTAGCATATGATCACTTATTTTTGTTCTCCTTATTATTCTTGTTTTCTCTTGTCTGTTCATTTTGTATATAATAGAACATGTGTGTATTTGTTAGAACTCAAAAAAATTACTCTCATATTCTTGCAGATTTTTTATTTGAAGCTTCGCTTTTCTTTCAATTCTGCTTCTTCTTTCAATTTACAAACATATTTGTGTCATATCATCCTCTTACAACTTTCAAAAATATTGTTTTGACCTTTTTCAACAATGACTTGATTCAACATTTGTCATGTGATTATCATTTTGAATCCTTATATACAGATATTGTACAGGAGGCAGGAGTTGATGTTTTTGGGCAACCGCCAATGAAAAAGTTTATTGAATGTGCTTGCCCAAATTGCCAAAGATCTATGGCATCAAATAGATTTGCTCCACATTTAGAAAAGTGCATGGGAATGGGAAGAAATAGTAGCAGAATTGCTAGTCGAAGGCATGTAACCTCTTCTTTCCATAATTAATCTCACTGGAAATATAGTTATTTGGTTTAATAAATGGACTAAGCATGATGCACTACAAGTTATAATAATAATAACAATAATGATAAATTAAAACTTAAATAGCACAAAACAAGATAAAAGGCTTATCTATTTTTGGCGCTTCACAATAACAATGTCCAGAGTCCTTAGTTTCTAAATACTTAGTATCTAACTAAATAATTCTCTACCATTTGTTCATCCTATGCTTAGAGCATATTTCTGTTTTTATTTTTGTGAATTGTTACTCAAATGCTTCATTTTGTTCAAAATCATGTTGTAAAGTGATCATTATAATTATCTTGTGAGCCCTGCTTCTTACAGAATCGCCACATCAGGAAAGATGGAAGAGTATGATATTGATGATGATTATGATAATGATTGGTCTTATGAATATGAGAAGAAAGGTTGGCCATTAAAGTTAGTCTATCTGTCGCCAATAATTCACCAATAGTTATTGCAATGATGCTGTAAGATAATAAAATCTTTCTTGAACATATTATAAACTTCCAAATAAGCTTTCATGGTTAAATATTTTAAGCAGGAGAACAAAACAGAAAATAAATGTCTTAGGATTATGTTTTGTTTATGCTTGTTTATGGTATGATAATTTTCAAATATTGTAAGCTTAATAAATCAATTAAGAACCATTATTATTGTAACATAATGTTTTTCCTTTTTCAGGAAGAAAATTACGAAAAGAAAAAGTTAGTAAAATGACACTTAGACTTTTGAGAGCAGCTGACTCCATTTATAGTTATTTTAATTAAAGTTGCAATGTGCATCAGAGTCATAAAATAATTATTCAAAACTGCTCTGTTAAGCCTTCTGCAGTCAAACTCTTTTTAAAGTCACAGTTGTTCAATCAACATTTGAATTGACTATAGACATGGTATATCACATTATAGCCCCCAATATTTGCAGAATATTTGATTCTTTAAAAAAGCAAAGCAAATATCTGAGACCATAATAAATACCTATTTAATATTTTTTCTGAAAAACTTTTTTCAGTGTCTATTTTCAATCCAGATGTTTTGATGCAATGATTTTGGTATCCAGATAGGTTTTAGAACAAGTATTTTTGCTGCTGAAACATTACTTGGCTCTCACCTTTGCGTAACTTTTTTCTGTCTACAGCAGGTGAATTGCTCTCCTAAAAACAGAAAAATTAATCAAAGGAAAGGTGTGTATTTTTCATATTAATTTCAAAATTTTCTTTCTTTTACTGTTTCTTTTAAAGTTATGACATCATTACAAACCATTTTTTGACCTTATTATTTAAATAGCTTACCCTTTTCAGAACAAAAATTGAAACCTTTTGTAATGACAGCTTATTCTAAAGTACTTTTAGCCAATATCATCCATGTATTCTTATTCTTTCAGTCACAGATCCATATTCAAGCAGTAGAATGTCAGTCACACACAATAGTGTCTCAGTTGCCAATAACACAGAAAGGAATGCAGGTGGTGCCTCTGGAAGCACTAATGGTACCAGTAATAGTGGTGGCAGTGGATCACGGCCTGGGACACCATGTTCCACAGCAAGTGGAGAAACTAACAATAACATTAAGGTTTGCAATGAAAATTTTTTTCTTATTGAATGAAAATTAAAACTAATATATGAAAATGCATAACTTTTTGTGCACATATAGAGTTTTTACCATTTTTCTACACTCTATGTATCAAATTTATTTCGATAATCTCCTGTCAATGCAAAAAAGGACCAACAGCAGCTTTTTTGTTTAAGCAATCATTAGAAGAGAGGTTTTTCTTTCAGACTGGACCAACATTACAGGCACTGGAGTCCCTAAGTCAAGGTATTGAAGATCTCCTCTTACCCTGCCATTGTAATTGCTAAAGCTTTTTACGCTTACCCAACCTAGACAGTAGTGGTATGTGCTTTCACAGACATTAGTAGTTGGGTTAAATGGGAGTTTATTTAGGGGGGGGGGGTGAATGCAATTTCCTTATAAGTTCTGACAAAGTAGCACAATGTTCAAAATTTTAAGGAGGTTTCATCATTGCATGGATTCATCCTTAACAGTGTATTTCTCTCAAATCTTATCAAGTCATGTTTTTTGCTCAATTCTTACATAATTTTGGTGATCTTCAAGTCTTATGACATAGGCTGTAAATCTCATGTTTCTTACCTTGTGATGTTTTGTTATATAACAATATGAAAGTGTTGAATGTCTCTAATGTCGAAACATTATGCTATTGTTGTTACAGATGAAAAGATTGCACTGTTGATGCAGGTAATGAACATCTGGAATTGAATAGTATTAGCACTGCATCACTCCTTACAATGATAGTAAAGTTTTTCTGTATAAGACTGCAGATACACACATTGTTTCTAGCATTAATACTATGTATCCAGATAAGCCTCTGGTACTGAAAAATTTCAAACTATCACAGAAAAGTGAAAGCATAGCTCACTAAAGTACGTAACATCTGACACTCGTCAAGTACAAAACACTTTTTAATGACCAAAGGTAAGCAAAAATTTATACCCAGATGGATATCTAAATTAACCGATAGAAAAGTTGGCAGGTTTGATTGATCCATTGTTTTTAAACTAACCACAAACTTCTTAGGTCTTTGAAGATGCCAGGAGAAAGATAACTTTCTTGCCTATGCAAGAAAGAATTTTACTGAACTGGTATATATCCATTGCCTCCATATTGTCCATAGTTTTATCCAATATTTGATATTTACTGATCTGATTTTTCTACAAATATATGCATCCTATACAAAATATTAATGATAAGTAAACACACAAACATCAAATGTTAATTGTACTGTTTCATTTTTAGACTTGTGGTGCAATCTCAGAACATACTGGCAAAATGTGTACAAGGTATTTTCATAATAACTAAAAATGCTAACTTTTTCTGTTTGATTATATATTCTGGCATAATTGTGCTGCTTTCACAATCTGTAAATGTCAATTTTAGAACTGGAAGATGTGCACAACATTCTGATGAACAACGAAGAGCTGTTAGAGATTTAGTATTAGGTACTTTTTGTCCTGAAATTTATCCTGTATAATTTATTGCATTTCCTCTTCATTCAAGTACCTGTTAGTAGTTGCAAGTATGATATTTGACCAAGAATTTCTGAACAAAAAAATGAAACAGCTTCTCGTTATATATTTGCATGCCTCAGCTAAGGTGTTTTTCATTGTAACAGACACATTGGATTTGGCTGTGGCAGTGGTCTTCTTTGGAGTAGCAGTATTCCAAAGGTTTTTCATGAGCACACTCTGGAACAATCAGATGGAAATTTTCTATATTTTCTTCTTTTTTTCATTTTTCAGGTGATGTTGATGATATACCCTTGCCACCTAGCATGAGACCAGAGGGGTATGTAACATGAATCATAAATGATAATAAGCAAATGTAAATGGTCTCTTACCTGGAAGTAAATCAAGATCCTAGTTTTGGGCTGTCATCTCCAACTAGAAAGAAATTCAAGACAACATTGATAAAGCAATTCAGAAAATCTGAAATAAGAATTCAATTTTGCTTTTTTACTTCTGCTATCTGCCTCAGTTTTTCATCCTTGTTTACAGACAAAGTTTTTGTTGGTTTATTATCTAATTAGTAAAGAATGTTTTTTTTATTCAACAGTGCTAATCCATTGGATCAAGATGATATTCATATAGGTAATTCGTTTTTTATGTATACACCTTTAACTTCAAAAACTTGTACAAAGAAAAATGTCAGTCAAAATTTTTGGGAATAGCTGAGGAGTCAAATCTTTCATTGACTGATAGCTCAGGACACTACTATTTTATACTAACCAAACAAAGATTTAATTACCAGGATTTTTTTTACTATATCTCACAGATCTTTGGGAATTGGGGTCAGGCCCTTCTTATTCGCAGGACATGTCCACTTTATGGGAAAATGCTGCAACCATGTGTTCATAGTTGCTTTGTATTCATAAATATTTCTTCGAGCCTCCTCTCATTCTTCTCTGCTGCGAGTCTGCGTGCAGGCTATAACTTGATGGATCATTGCTGCATAATTTAAAAATTGTTTCAAATCTTGCGAAGGTCACATAAAGTGAACTTTTCTAATTACACACCTTTTGCTGTTTATTCTCAGATGTTGATGGTTATGAAGACATGGATGCTGGAACACCTCTTTTGAGAGACTTGAGCCAGTAAGCTTTACTTTCAGTGTTTAACACATTTCCAATGATGTACATCAGACATTTTTATCCTCCCGCCAGCGGGCCAATTTCGGCCTGCGACAAGATTTAATCCAGCCTGCCAAATGCATTTACCTCAACAAATATTTTTGGCTAACATTTTCAAAAATTCAAAATATGGTTTTTTGTTTTTCTTTTGTCTGCTCTGATATATTCTTTTTTTTCTGCAGTAAATTTTAATATGCATAGACAGTTATTGGTCTGAAAAGGGAATACTGAAATAGGAATGCATTATTTAATCTTTTGATGGTTTTATAGGGGGTTTCATTAACTATGCTAGAATTATTCTAAAACCTGCAAGACCTTTCCTTTTTCATGTCAATAAAAACCCTTAATAATATTGCTTTGGATTTTCTCGTGTTAAAATCTATTTGAGGTTCAGTTTCTGGCCATCCCTAGATTAGTATAATCTAAAATTTTTCTTACCCCCAACCTTTGGCAGCCTTTACTAAATTCTTCCACAAGCGTCACTTTTTGGCCTTTCTTTCAAATTAGCTGAACAGCCCCTGGACCCGACTTCAGTACGCTTTACAACTAACAAAGATCAATGTTTAAATCTAAAAAAGCACAGAACAATCTTCTAACTCAACCTGGTACAAGAAACATAAAGTTACAAACTTTTGTGAAAACTATTTTTTGGGCTTATGTATGATGCTAGCTAGAGATAAGATAGGCAGGCTAGCCTGCTATGAGATCTGAATTTTATTTTGAGCAGCACAAGGTATATAAATGTTGGGAACCTAGTGACCTCTGAAAAATCTGTGTTTTTCTGGCTCGGCACTCAAATACCTAAGAACTTGGTCTAACCAATTTAAAATTAAGATAAAAATTTAAAGAAACATAGTACCAATAAACTTGCTATTTTAGAATGTCTTGGGAGGAAGGATCAAATGTTTCACTGGGATCTGATATTGTACCAGGTAAGTAGCTATTTGTTCAAACACTATAAATAAGGATGATTGAGTTGAAGATTTGTTTACAAAAATCTATGAACTAGCCTAGATGAAAACTTTACAGATGGAGAAAATTGTAAAGTCTGCATAACAGCACTTATTTTCTTGTTCATGCATGCAATCTATGAACAAGCAGCCCCTGTAAGCAGATTACTGTCTTTTTGTAAGATAGTCAGAAACCACGTGCACATAAAAAATCCTTTCCTAAAAAATTATTACATTCCAAATCTATTCTACTTCTTTTGAAGCATTAACTTTTAAACTAAAACCAATTGTTTTGTAAAAGACACATTTGTGGTTTACAACAGATTAACAATTCTTTCCCCTTTCCAGTCCCTTCAACTCCAAAACAAGCAAAGAAAACAAAAAGTGGAAGACGCTCAAGGAACAGATAATATACTGTTTGCAACTGTTCTTTTGTCACAGTTCCGCAGCTTTTTTACTTTTCTTATGCTTTACCATTCTAACACATCTTAAAGATGCTACTCTAAATGCTAGTTTATTTGTCTATGCTTTGAAACAAGATGCTTCTCTAAATGCTAGTTTATTTGTCTATGCTTTCTTCCTTAATAAGAGGTATCATTAAACTTCAATTAGTTATTTGAAACAGGATGGAAGCTCAGACCTTCCTGTAAAGTTTCTTAAGCTTGTGTATTTAAGAAGTATTTGAAAGATTCTGACTTCCAACTTAAAATTTACTTTCATACTTTGTCCGCATTTAGCATAGCTTTAATTTTTGACAGCAATTAATTACATCAAAATAATATCGACACTGTTTTGATAAATTGTCTGCTTTAGTTTACCCTGCTGTTTAATTTTTGTGGCTCTGGTACCCAGGGTAGCTTTAGTTATTAGACAGATGGAAAATAATGTTTTTCAGAAAATAAAGAAATTTGTGGTTGGTAAGGTTCAAGGAAATTCAAAGACAATATAGGAAAAATAAAAATTTGCAATAAACAGAATCTGAAAAATATTCTGCAAGTTGCTCTTGACCGGGGTCAGGGGCACAGTTACATGGGGCTATTTTTGTGAATTTGTATATAGTTAAAATATCTCCAGGCCTTCTCCATTGATAATTGGAAAAAATCGGCCCAATAGTTGCTCGTCATACTCCTTTAATGACCACTGCACCTAAAAATATCAACTCTACTTCTTCTATGCCAATGACTGAGCAAATTAAGGTGGATTTTTGTTTCAAGTCACAGTAAGTGGTGGTACAAACCCCAACATATCTGTGAATAGTTCCTAAAGCAATCAAGATTTTGGACAATGAGTTTCAAGTATGATCACTGATGTATTCATGTAATTCTTCTAACTCTCCTTCATCCATAAAAATTAATGTAAGACAGGAAAGAAACTATTTGAAGTTTACAAAAACAAACGAAACAATTCCATTTTTAACAGTGCATAGGTGCTTTAGATGACATGTCCTTTTTTAGTCAACTTCCTCAATAGTTGGTCCACCAGATCCACCACTTGGTGGTGGTGCACCACCAGGCATTCCACCACCAGGCATTCCACCACCAGGCATTCCTCCGGGCATTCCTCCAGGCATGCCAGTACCACCAGCACCTTGATAAAGTTTTGTAACGATTGGCATGCATACACCTTCTATATCTTTCTGCTTGGTTTCGAATTCTTCAGTTGAAGCATCCTATGAAAGTAATTGGAGATTGTACAAGGTGAAAGAAATTTTAACAACAGGAAATATAATAAAATATGCATTTCTTTGTGTCCAAAAACTGCACTGATTAAATTTAGCATTATACAAGAGTAGCTTTAAAAATACAAATGATATTTTTAAGGGCAGAGGAAAGTTGGCTATTTGTTGATATGATGTTCAGGGGAAATATGACTGCAGCACTACAGTGATCAGAGCATAGCTCTGCATGGCGGAGAAAGGATTGCAAAACAAGTGAGAACATAATATATTTTGTGGCAAAAAGAAAAAAGTGAACAACAGGATTCTGGAAAATTCAAAATGCAGCTTCCTATTAAAACAAAGTATACCAACATAATATATAATATTGATTGATAAGAAGCATACCTGGTTATGGTCCAACCAATCGATGATTTCTTTGCATTTGTCGTCAATGCTCTTTTTGTCTTCTTCTGAAATTTTGTCCTTAACCTTATCATCATTGATAGTAGTTTTGATGTTGTATGCATAACTTTCCAAGTTGTTCTTTGCCTGAATCCTTGCCCTCTGCTTCTCATCATCCTCCTTATACTTTTCAGCTTCTGCAACCATACGTTCAACATCATCCTTTGACAAACGTCCTTTATCATTTGTGATGGTAATTTTGTTCTCTTTACCTGTGCTCTTGTCAACAGCAGAAACATTCAAGATACCATTTGCATCTACGTCAAAAGTAACCTCAATTTGTGGAACACCTCTAGGTGCTGGGGGAATTCCAGATAATTCAAATTTACCAAGAAGATTGTTATCGGATGTTTTTGCACGCTCTCCTTCAAAAACCTGAATCAAGACACCGGGTTGATTATCTGCATAGGTTGTAAATATCTGGCTCTGTTTGGTTGGGACAGTTGTGTTCCTCGAAATAAGGGCAGTCATGATGCCACCAGCAGTTTCAATTCCAAGCGACAATGGAGCAACATCAAGTAACAGGAGATCAGAGACCTGTTCACTCTTGTCTCCACTGAGAATAGCAGCTTGCACAGCTAAGGGGCAAACAAATAATGTAAGTGGTAATAAAAAATGTGAACCACACAACTTATGGAAACATTTAGAGCTTCTTATCAATAATAGACACCCAAAGAGTCATAAACAACAGAAACCACTAGCACTTTGCAGCACCACAACAGAAACCACATTAAGAAGCCTTACCTCAAAACAAATTGGCTAAAGAAAAGTTGCTAGGGATACTAAGTTTGATTCTTACTTGGGCCATACATTTGACAGCCATAAAATTTTACAAGTTTCTTTTATTTTAAGATAGATATTGAACTTTGATAACATACGAGGCGCTTAACACATGAAACCTAAAATAAACAGGGTGTCATTGATTGTCATTCATCTAAAAAAATTATAGCTATACATAGAGTTAATAAAACTCATTCTTTGCTTAGCCAGCTTTTCCAGCTGCCACTGTATCTATCCAACTCATCTATGCAGAGTGCATGTCAGACAAATTCATTTGCAGGCTGATGAATGGCAGTGTTAACAAATTGCAAATGAGAAAGGTGGGGGTTCAATGTGTAGAAAAAGGCCACGAGTCCCCAGACACGTACGACTGCATACAATGAGGAGGAGGGCTGAAAATATTAAAATTTTTGCATTGATTGAGCCCTGTTTGAAAATAAAATTTCCTTTAACTTTCCTGTATACCTGCTAAATGTTTGTAAGACAAGTCTGGGTAGAATATAAACAAATAATGATTAAAGTTGATTTCTTTTAGAAACACTTACCAGCACCATATGCAACAGCTTCATCAGGGTTGATTGACTTATTCAGTTCTCTTTTGTTAAATGCATTGCTCAATAGATCTTGAATCTTTGGAATACGAGTTGAACCCCCTACCAAGACAATATCATGAATTTCATCTTTTCCCAATCCTGCATCCTTCAATGCTTTGGACACAGGCTCCATTGCAGAATTGAAAAAATGCATATTAAGATCTTCAAACTTGGCACGTGTGATAGAGGTATAAAAGTCTATGCCTTCAAAGAGTGAATCAATTTCAATACTGGCTTGTTTGCTTGATGACAGAGTCCTCTTGGCTCTTTCACAAGCAGTTCTCAAACGACGCACTGCACGTTTATTCGATGAAATATCCTTCTTGTGTTTCCTCTTAAATTCTTCTACAAAATGGTGGACCATGGATTGATCGAAATCTTCACCACCCAAGTGAGTGTCACCATTAGTTGATTTCACTTCAAAGATACCATCTTCTATTGTCAACACAGACACATCAAATGTGCCTCCACCAAGATCAAAAATCAGGACATTTCTTTCAGTTCCGACTTTCTTATCTAACCCATATGCAATGGCAGCAGCTGTTGGTTCATTGATAATTCTCATTACATTTAGTCCTGAAATGGTACCAGCATCCTTAGTTGCTTGTCTTTGTGAGTCATTGAAATATGCAGGAACAGTGACAACTGCATTGTCCACTTTCTAAAACAAAGAAATGACAAATTTGAGGAGACTGAACTGAATTATAATAAGTTAATAAACTGTGTTATACATTTCATACTCAAGACTGGCTTCTAATAGTCGTAGAAGTTAGTACAAACCTTTCCTAAATAAGCTTCAGCTGTCTCCTTCATTTTAGTGAGAACCATAGAAGAAATTTCTTCTGGAAAAAATCTTTTCGTTTCCCCCTTGTATACAACTTCAATTTTTGGCCTGCCACCTTCGTCGACAACGTCAAAAGGCCACAACTTTTTATCTTTCTGCACATTTGGGTCATCTGATCTTCTACCAATCATTCTCTTTGCATCTAATGAAGAAAGAGAGGGTTGAAAGTGATCTGCGATGGATTTTGGTTTCAAAGGAAATTATGGAGGAATTAATGTCACAAGCATAAATGAGAATGTGATGGTAGTTGGGTTAACAAAATAACTAAAGGATAGATCTATTTACAGCTCTCTGTTGCCAATATCAGTATCAGTTCGTACAACATGAAGTTTTCTAGGAATAAGTAGAACTGTCCGTGCATTGAAAAAGCTTCATTGGTAGTAAAGTTAGGGCGGAAATTATTCCTTCAAAAACTCACATTATGGGGCATAATTACTGAACATGTTATTGATAAATAAAACCACGCCACAATCTTTATTTCAGTGGAATCAAAAAATGTGTTGGCCTACTTTATTCTAACAAAATTGCCGTGCATGCACAAGCATTAAGCACTAATATGGCCACATATTATATTAAAACCCGTACGTAATACTGTTTCAATTCTCTCACTTTATCCACCACAGAGCATAAATTTCAATCTGAAAGGTTTCACCCTACTTTTACTACTTCCAATGCCTTCCCGTTCAATGCACCATCTAAGAGGAAAATTCTGGAGTAAAGCCTCCAAATAAAAACGTTCCCAAAAAACTTTACTAAGAGTTACCTACGAAAAAACATTGACAGAAATCTTTACTTAGACTTACCAAAGACAGTATTTGAAGGATTCATCGCAACTTGATTCTTAGCTGCGTCTCCGATAAGCCTTTCGGTATCGGTGAAGGCTACAAAACTTGGTGTTGTCCTGTTTCCCTGGTCATTTGCAATGATCTCAACTTTTCCGTGTTCAAAAACTCCTACACAGGAGTATGTAGTACCAAGATCAATGCCAATTGCCTGCGTCTTAGCCATCTTGGTTGGAGTTAACGTCGTTCTTATCTCCTACACTTCTTGAGTATTTCCAGTTAAAGGAAAGAGAAACTGTCTGCACATGTTTTTGAAACGCGATAATTTATGCAGCTGGCCTTCTAGAAAGTTCCTTGCGCATTCGATTGCTGATTGGTTTAAATCTATACACCTACTCTCTCATTGGTTTACAGTTTTGCGTTGCGTAATGACTACGCACTTCCTTAGAAATTTCGCGGCCCGTCCAGGTCCAGACTGCTTCTAGAACATTCCGGAAGATGATCAGCAAATGTTAGGAATGCCCGCAAATTTTCTTAGAAACAGAAGTGGCCATTTCCCTTGTCGCAAATTCACGCAACTTCGCGTTTATTATAGCACGTTTAATATCAATATATAGACACCGTTTACATTCACGCGTGCAAGTTTTCGAGAACTGCTATTCTTTGCACACTGGTTTGAAACAGTAATAGACTGGTTCCAATTCCAAGAAATTATAAAACAAGGGGCATTTTTAGTAGAAGCTGGGATTCAGTTGATTCAGGGTATTTCGACCATGCTGATTACGAATTTAGTGGATCCCAAGCGAAATTCGCTCATTCAAGGGCTTAATTTGCATATCAAAATGGTTGCCAGTCGAAATCTTCAAAATGCTGCCAAGAAAACCCATGACACTGCATTCGACTAGGATATTCACTAATATTGCTGTAATGAGGACAAAACTTGGTAAAATGGTGTACAGCAACATAATCTACACAACAGGGAACTTTTTAAATTTTTCATTACATTCATGACGTCATTATGATGTCATAATTGAATGCTAACTAATTGGTAATATCTCAGTTTAACTATTAAGTTCTTTTATAATGTCTCTAGAATGTATCAAAATGCACCAAAAAGTAAAAATCAGAGATATGATTTCCATCTAAGCTTATTATCTATATCGCTTAATCATGATATATTGACACCAATTTGTCATTGTTTCATTTAAACCCCTAATTACTGGTGTAAATACTCTAGAATGTCTTGAATTTACTTTTAAAGATAAAGAGAACCAATTTCGGCTGGTAAAGTTGATCTATTACATTTTCTGTGATTTACTAACGTCATAAATTTGATGACGTCATTAATTTAAAAATTGTTCACGCCATCAAAAATCAAAAAGGTTATGCAACATTTGAAAGTCCTCATCGAAATCAGTCGAATGGTGCCATTCTCGATGATCTATGATCCTCCGGCAAAAATTAAACTCATTTATTTTGTTTTCTAGCTGGTTAGTGTCTACCATTTTAAAGAAAATCTTCCAGTTTTATTTAGCCCATTTCATTTTAGGAGAAATGGCAATCTTTCAGCTCTTCATTTTTCGAACGAACGACAAGTTTATCTATGACATTTTCTCAAATAAAATTTCTCCCAAGTAGTGATCGGGTTAAATGTCAACATTGAATATTCAAGTGGCTGAACATGTTCCTTTTGTATATCCAGTTCAACTTTGCTATGGGTGTCAACAGTCCCCTAGCAACTGCAGGCCTTGCGCAAATTAACACTATCTTCTGACTAATAATTCTCGAGAGTTCTTGAGAAAAGAACAGTTGTAGTTTCACTGAAAAACTTCATTGCTAATTTTTGAATTCTTCCATACTTGTCAAGAATTCTTGAGGATTCTTCTCATGTCGATATATGCAAGGCCTGCAGTGTGAAGTTTGATCCTACATTAAGATTCGAAGTAGCGTCTGATCTAAATCTTAAAGCAAACTAAGCAATATGAGTTTCTGCATCGCGTGTTACATCCACAAAAGATCATCTCCAGAGAAGCAGTAGGGATGGCTTCGCTGTCATTAGAATCGGCTTTAATCGATCTTCAGAAAGCTCCCATCCGAAATCTGTAGGTGACGGGTGATCCAGCTTGTTTCCATATCATTGCTTGGAAGTGTGCTCTTCTTGTGTGAAGGTGTGCCGCCTCACTTGTTGGAGGCAATGCCTCGGGTTTTATTTTCTTGAGAAATAGAACGTGTCGGGCTTCATTTGTGACCTGCACCATAAACGTGGCCAAGAAATTTTTCTGCTTTCCGCATAACTTGTTCGTTAATGCCTCCTTCTCCTATGTTTTGCAAGAGTTCATGTGACTCTTTAAAAACTTTCCATGCAGATGCCTTCGTATTCCCAGACAAGTACGAAGTTGTATCACATTCAGTAAGAGTGTAAAAGGGGATGATTGCTTGAACAGATCCCTCTGGCAAGGCGTGAAGAATCTCTTTGACTGGTATATTTCCTCTTCTTTGACGTTCCAGACCACATCCAAAGATCATTGCATCGCATTCGTTCACAGTGGGACACCAGAATGATGAGCACATCTGCATCTCTAGCAGCAACTACTACTGTATTGCAGGTGACATTGATAGCACGAAGGGCAAGTCTGGTGTCTGCTTCTTTATGGTATGCAATCAAAGACAAGGTATCAGTGTAGTATTTCGATGACTGGGCAAGCAATTCATTGATAAATCCACCCGCTGTAACAATTTCTCTATCTTCAGTTGCTTGGCGAAGCAACTCTTCTGACAGGAATCGTGCAAGATCTGCTTTGTTTTCTGGCAATGCCAAGAAGTTTGACCAGAACTTTGGAAGAGGTACCAAACCGCTCTCTATAACTCGGCGAATAGCTTGGCTAGTTTTTGTCCGCCTTAGTCTGGTACTAGCTTTGATTGATAGTTTTCTATAGTGGCCAAAAACAACGTCGATTCTCTGGTAGCGTTTGCCCATTTAAAGCACTGTTTGAACAAAGGTGTCTGCTAAATCACCACGAAACGAAGAGTAACCTTTTGGTTTCCCTAATAACACCACTAGAGCCTGACCATCGATGATTAAGCACGCTGTTTTTCCATGAAGATCGATACTCTCTGGACAACTGATGCTATCTGTTAGCTTGTCAATAAGTACAGACTTGTTTCCAGTCCGAAGAGAACCGTTCATTTCAGTGAGAGATAGTGGAACTGGCATCAATTCATGAGAAAGCACTCTTTTAAGATCAACTTCACGACCGCCTTCATAAGCAGTGATCAACCGCAGGAGGATATTTCGATCGGCCTTGAAAATCGTCTGCTTCTCCTTGTAGTTTGAATTTATTGGAACTTCATATAGGCTTTGAAAGGTAAGCGCTCTGCATCTTTTAAATGGTTCCTTGAAGGATACCATGGGCTGTGTCAGACGGTGTCCGTCTGTGCGTGACAAAGCTTAACATTTGTTGCTGACCATGATCATCTGCATGCAACAAAGATTCTTGAATTTCTTTACTTGCCAGGTCTTTATTTGCTATATTCTACCACTTGCAAGAACCTTATGCGGTTCGGAGGATCCCTTGGTTATACCTTGAAGTTTTCTGACCGGCAGCCACTTCGAATATGCAAATAAAGCCTTTGAATTAGCGAATTTTGCTTGGAATCCGCCAAATCTGCCGTAATCAGCATGGCCCAAATAAACTGGATCCTAGCTTCTACCCCAAAATGTCTCTTGATCTCTTTTTAAGAACTATTTTAGAGAAATGGAACTAGTCTATAACAAAACTGTTGCTGTTCACTCTCTCATCCTTGTCTGTTTCCATGTACCCTGTCCGTTGGCAAAATTGAAACTTCTTTTATACAGTAGTTTAATTTGGAAAATCCACTCACATTGACATCTATTTTTTAAGTTTATTATATTAATTTAAGTTTTTTAGATTTCGTAGATTTTGCATGATCAATGAACTAGGAAACATTATCTTTTCGTACCTTGATACAAAATTTGCCGCCGCCAAACGTCAAACTTGCAAAGCTCATCGAGCAACGTCCCTTCTTTCCCCCCCGTTGAACATCAATAAAATCTATCAATGGATCTGGAATAGTTAATACGGACCACTTAGGTAAAAGTTAAATTTTTTAAAACTGCTACTTTATTTCGAATCATACTGTCTTTCTGGATCAATTTATTTTCTGTATTTTTATTTTGGAGCATTGGATGGAATAGCGGAGAAGACCTGGAGTAGAAGGTTATTTGATTGTGTTTTAGTTTTGATTAAAGAGAAATATAAATGAAATAACTGAAATTGGTTATAATAATCCGCGGAAATAAGTTTTTCTTTTGTTCAAAGACATTATGAGATTTCACTGTAAATTACTCTAATCTACTACATGGTCATTCGGCATTCTATAAAGAATTCGAAAATTTTTACGATAAACAAGTCATTAATATTTATATAAAATGTTTGGACGATTGGAGAATATTCCCTATGGGAATCTCATTCTCCTGTTTCTTAGGCTTCACTGTGGACATAAAGTTAAAACTTGTTCAGAAATATAGACTGCAATGCATTTTGATCTGTAAGATAGTGAAAGTGCTGGTAAAGGAGGGTTCAATGAAAGCGCACGATCACGTTCAATGTCATGGGCATATTGCAAAACCATAAATGCAGGCAAAGGGTATGTTTGTGCATGGGAGAAGGTAGTCCACAGCGGCGTTCACCTGGGTATTTGCTTCCGTCAGGCCCTCAAAGCGCACGGTAATAAACAAAGGGAAAAGAGAACCAGAAAATTTCGGTATTAATGATTAATACCTGATAAAAAAAATGTGAGACTTTTTCGGTATCTGAAATCGGCCCTTGCAAAATCCATTGTACGAGTGCACAATTGCTGAATTGTTGGTGCTGCAGCTTCCTTTGAAACTGTGTCAACTTCTCTTTTGGCACAGCAAAAATAATAATAACTTGACTTGCTGATGACGTCAACATCATTTCGTAGCCACGAGCAATAGAAAGCGGGGCACTAATTAGAGGAAAATGGGAATTCTTCGCGTAGCATTCTGTTACAGAAACCGTGTCACTTCGTGGGTTGGTTACTTACTTACAGAGTCCTCCATCACTACTTTATGTACTCATTCTTTGTACATAGTGAATAAAAAATAAAGCTAAAATAAAAATAATTAGAATTTACAAATCTCTTCGCCTTAGAATTGAACGAATACTGCAAGAGAGGTTCGCCTCTTTTGTGTACAGCTGCAGAATGGTCCGCAAACCTGGCACTGGGTTAAAATTTGGAGTATACCGAGTCTCTTTGCGATCGTAGTTTGGTTTTCCTGCGACTGTTATGGGCGAAAACCATGCTAGAAAATGCTTCAGATGGAATGTCGCAGGCACTTGATCAAAGCGTGTATCGCCAGTGTTGATAAATACCAAAATATTCACGGGGTTATCTCATCTGCTACGCTTCATCAACAAAACTGCACATTACCAACTACCTCAGAACCAACCGTAACTGATTGCCGCTGGAATCTTTGAAAAGAAGAACATTGTGTAAACTTTTTCTAATAAAATAATCAATAATTTGAATGTGCTACATACGGTTCGAGCTCTTATCCAATCCAAAACAGGCAATATACAACCCTACCATATGATGCACCACTGTATCAAAAGGATCACAAACATCAATAAAAAACTGGTGCAGGAAAACAGTAAAAAAGGTGAGCCCGTATACAAAGAAATTAAGAAACTATAAAGTTTGGAAACATCTTTGCATAAGATCACCATATTATATGCCTGTTACAAAACTGAATTCTAAAAACAAGACATACCTGTTAGAACCTGAACTGAAAAATGAGCTTCATCCATGAAATTTCTGACCATCTGGCAAAATGAAATTGAGAGCCTGTTTCAGAATTTGTTACAAATTCGAGCTCTAGTTTTACATGTGCCCCAGTCAGCCGGTTGAAACCCAGGAAATGCATTTTGATACATACATGACAGTAAGTGTCGATTCTCAATTTATTGTTAAGCTAAACGCAGACTTCCTGGAAAAACCGCTCTGCTTTTGTGTCAGCTTAATATTGAGTATTAATAAGTTAAATGCAGACATGCAAGCAAGGTTCAATGAGAGTTAACCATGCAGTTCTTATCAAAATTTGCAAATAATGCTTTTTCAAAATGTTGTCTCTGACTAAAAATGACACTTGCAAATAATGTAAATTCATTTTCAAAAAATAGAGAGCAATCACAATAATTCAAGTACATAGACTAAGGTTAGAAATCTATCAGTTGACGAAGACATTTTCCTTGAAAATGAAGATAAGAATCACAAAGATACTGTCGATCAGTAGCGACGCCACGGGGGGGACTGGGGGGACACGTCCCCCCAGTTCTCAGCAGAATCGATTTTGTATTTCGTCTAAATTCGATGAGAAAATGTTGGGGGAGGGGTAATATTTTGACACCGTACTTTTTGTGATGTAATACTATGATTTTCAAACTGCCAATTTTCGAACAAAAGTTTGTCATAGGCGTTCCCTTCAGATATAATTGGCGTTCCCTGTTGGTAAAAGGGCGTTTTCTGGTGGTTTAAAGGGCGTGGCTTAAATGTTTTTGATTTGTCCCCCCAGAGCTTAGTGGCTGGCGCCGCCATTGCTGTCGATGCGTTTGCAAGTTGGCTTTTTTAGCAAATACTACAACATTTTCTTTTTGTTTTGTTGTACATTTTGAGCTGAGATAGGCGGTGGTGGAGATGAGGTTAGTTAAGATAGGATGGGCTGAAACGCAACAGGATGAGCCGAGGCAGATTGAGGTGATGAGCTGAGATTGAGGTCAATTTCAGGAATCGATCCAAGTTGAGCTGAGCAGAGTTGACTCAACAAACTGTTAAGTGAGTTGCGCTGAGGTGAAATGAGTTGAGTTGATTAAATTTGGACACGCTCATTTTTCTTAAAAAGCTTGCTAAAAAAGCGTCTTGGACAATTGGAAACAGTTTGAAGTACAAGAAAACAAAAAAATTGCAAATCATTGAGTTTTAAAAAAAGCCTTTTCAGAAATTATGTAGAATTAACCAGTATTGAGATAAAAAGTTGAGATAAGCTGGGATGACCTGAGATGAGTTCAGCTGAATCAAGTTATAGTGAGTTAGACTGTTCATAAGAAATAACAATAGCTACCTCGTCATCGACGAAGATCAAAATGCCAGTTGGTCCTTGCCTGAGACAAACAAAACAGAAAGTAATCAATTCAGGACTACAAGGAGCGTTGGAAACAACTAAGTGCATTATAAGCACCTCGCATCCGGAGGACAGACAAGATACAAATTCGTTCATTTTCCTTTGATTTTGAGAACAAACATCAAATATTTGAAAAACTTTCTCGCTATAACAAGATAAAGTAGGGGAAGACAATTTCATCAAATATTCAGTTGCTAAATCGAATGAAGTAAAAAGAGGAAATCAAATCAAATTCTTGGGATATATCGTGTTCTACAATCTGACTATATGCCATTAGTGATCCGATTGTTGCATTCACATGGACAGATCTGTACTGTAATCAAATAAACTGAAAAAGTAGGCCTGGTTTGATGGCGGCTTCAGGTGTCACCTACCAAAAAAAGCTCCTCGAGAAGTAATTTTCCTTACACATTTATTGTGACCAGAAAATATTTTCCTCTTTCTCATAAACTGTTGCCATACACTTATCATTACAAATAATAAAGCCGAATTTTTAATCATATCAAATGAACAGATGAATTTAAATGTTGAAAACTGAAACTTCAAAATCATGTCTTATCTGGGTTATGGTTGTTTATTTAGTTATACACATAAAGATAGCAAGTAGACGCACTTGTAGATCGGGTAGGTATCCGACGGCTCAAGATCGCATTTGAGTACGAGTTTTTTCCTCAGCTCTTCAACTGTGAGGTGCTCAAGGAATATAGCATGATACTCTTTCATTCCAGTATCACTTTGCCGCCATTCGGGTGAAACGTAAATTGTCAACAGAGGACGACTCGCTCTGAAAGTAGAAACTCGCGTTATAGAAAAACCTAGCAAGTAAAATTTGTAATCTAAATTCGTAAATCTAAATTGATAAGGTCCTTAAAACGTATTTACAGGGACATAACCGAAGACCGCCATTAGGAATCGTAATATTCTTTAAGAAAGCATAACCCGTTTCTGTCCTTGGTCTAAATTAAAGCACACAGCAAAACCACCCACTGAAAACCTTCCTGGGACTTCTACCTTTTAAAAGCCTTGGCTACCTCTATATGGTAACACAAACAGCAAAACGACATCAGTTCTAAGTCAGAATCTCACGTAAAAGGGATATCTGGGGAACCGTAAACAGGGGCGGACACTTGGTCAAATATTGGGGGGGGGCAAGCCTATTGTTTTAATAAGATGACGTCACTTTTTCCCATTGTTCCCATTGATCGCCCCCTCACCCCCAGATGTCTGCCACTGATCGTAATACGCTCATAGTTGTGTTGCAATGTAAAATCTCGGGAAAATGAGCTTTATATACACATATAAAAACTCAATAAAATCTTTTGACGAGATACCGATATACATTACTCTAACTACTTTACTACACTAAAAGGACGATACCTCTGGGAGCAAGAAATGATAATGGCTACCCCGGGGCCATTATAAAAAGAATGACTGGGATAAAATTTACTACATATTGACCTCAACACCTTTTACAGAACTAAAAAAGTTTGATTTAATAAGTTTGATAAATAGTATTCTAACAAAAATACCATAGTCAACATTGTACCACACCAGTCAAGCTCATGTTTGCTTGCTGAATAATAAGTTGCAATGCTGAGGGGGAGCGACTTGACCCTAAAGGTTGGTCAGCAGGGGGGGTTAGGGGTTAGTACTAACCTGGCTTGAAGAGCATTATGTAATCGTATGCCATCAGCTGGGCCACAAAGCTGAATCAAGTCACTGCGAGTTAGAACGAGCAAATCCGAGCCTAAACAAATTGAAATTTAAAAGCAAATCATGCATGGTATTTTTTCTTATACGATACGGTAAATGCTCTAAGACAAAATTTAATGAAAACATACGCATAGACGTAGAAACCGGGGGCACAGGGTGCAAGTGCCCCTTACTTTTCAGCAACAGTTGTAACGAACCTATTTGCAGCTCATGGAGTAACCCTTTTTCCTTATAATACTAACCAATTTTAAAATTGCTTTTCTACGTGTATGTATAAAGGAACACTTTATAATGTCTGGTGTTGTGCAGAAATTATCTGACAATAGATTTTGACATGCGCTTTTCAGCAAAAGTAGCCAAAGATAAACTGGTAGCTTCGTGAGATTTTGGTAATTATTGCTACTTACACGCTTGTGAATAACTAACATGTTTATTCATGTAGTGAAAAATCATACAACTTGCTGCCATATGACACAATGCACGAGAGACACCCATGTAAATGCACTGAAATGTTTTCAGGAAATTTACACCACGTACCCTCGTTTATCAACTTGATTTACCATCCGTCAGAATGATCTCTCATCGGCTTCCTACGATCTTCATATATTGGAAATACAAATATTTCTGAAATCTCAAGACTATAATTAGGGCTGGCTCACCTTTGAAATTCGTAAATATTCCGACAAAGTTGTTGAATCTGTTTATGGTCAACCAGTTTTGAGTTTCTTCGACAGTCGATTCTGATACGAGTTTCTGGCAGAAAAAATTATAAACGAAGTTGGCAAAATGATTTGCTATAAATGGAAATAAAAGGGAACCAGAGCCCATGCAATGAGAACGTTTCAGCAAGATTGAGGATGACAAAAAGCACTGTTAAAGGGCCCAAACAATTCGAGTCAAAGACTCCAAATTTCGTTTATGATGGTCTCCCAACAAATCAAAAAATGGTTATCAAAAGGAATATCGTTGGAAAAACTGGTTCTCGCTGAACTATTCATGTGCCAAAGAAGTAACCAAAGAAGAAACAATCTAAAGAGAGTCTTGTAAGGAAATGAGGTTTCACAGCAAGAGCTGAATATTCCTGCGTCAGGGCAAATATAGCGCGTTCAGTCTTGCAGCATCCTACAATCCCGGACAAACGGTGTTATGAATTTTTACCCCCCCCCCCTCACTTCCATCTTGATATCTCTTCTATCAAAATAAATACGCTCCAACTTTTAAAAGGGGAATGGGTTGAGGCTGGACTATACATTCATGCTGCCGGGCTGTAGATCTGATACTTAGATCTGTTCAAGATTGTAAATCTGAAGGACGCTAAAAAAGCTCCTTTCTCTAACAAGCATTAGCTTGATAAGATATGAAGGCCTACGCTTTTTCAAAATGGTATACAAACAAACGAGAATGAGTATGGAAACGACAGTGATTGTAATATGAGGGGATTAATTTGATATTTGTTTGGCTGTTTCGTAACTGAAATTTTGAAGGCATGGAAAGCAATACCTGAACTTGGGCTATTGCAGCTTGACTTTCTGCTATGATTTTCGGGGCTTGACTATTTTGTTGTTGATGTTGAAGTTGCTGTTGTTGCTGTTGCATAGGCGTGCTTGAGGCAATATTCCCAGTTAACTGAAGCTGGCTGAACATCGATGAACTAGTTGGAAAGCAATATAGATTCGTCTCATTTGAAGAAATATAATTTTTACATAAAAATCGAATAAATAGCTCGGATATTTTTGTTGTTCACGTAATTAAATTGATTCCTGCTTAACCCCAAACACATATATTCAGCTAACCTACGGAAAATGAGTTTAATAATGCAAAGATGGACCAGGTGACAAGATGAGGCTGGAGATTCTTCAAGAATTGTGCTGTATATATGGATGATGTTCTGGTGAAGTTTTTGATCCTGTCAACTTAAATACTGTAGAATTTAGAATGGTTTTTAATTAACATCTTTGCCAAAATTTAAGTTGAATTGACAATTGAAAAAATAGCAGAAATTAGCTCAGGCTTTTCATCGTAGAATGTTGTTAGGGGCTTAATAAATGGAAGGAAAAGAAGAAAAATAGGGGATTCTTTAACCATAGCGTTTTCTGTTCAAACTATTCTGTACACCAAACTCTACATAATGTCAGTGAGACTTTTTAATAGAAGAAATATTACACACTGCAGTTGAACAAATTTGCAAAAATTATTCACCCGAGTTTAAAAGAATGACATTAAAAAAAATTAGATGATTCAAACTAAACTTGATTACCACGGTGAGAGCCAGCTTGCATCTCCTTGGAAACCAGAAGATGATACTGAGGGTGGACTCGCTCTTGTCAGCGAAGATTCTAATGGTTCGAGCTAATAACAAATACAAAGTAACAATTGTGTTAATGCTGTCTATGAAAAGGATTATTAAAACATGACGTACAGAGCCATTTAGAAAGGCTAGTAGTGAAGAAGAGGGCTGAATTTCCGAGGTCGGACACCACTTGTGTTCAAAATACTTTTCGAATAAAATTAGTTTTAATACAGAAGAGCTACAATTGACAATGTGCAATGGGAAAATTCGCAAAAACAGAAATCATTTTGCGGCATCATCCTAAGGTAATTAAGATTACCCTAAAATTTCAAAAATTGAATTACATAAACTAAAATTTTATAGATTCATAGCTCTGATCTGTAACTCTAATGACAAGAGAACCTAAAAAGGCATGTTTTAATTAGATTTGAGAAATGAAAACGAATAGTTTCACAAGAACGAAACTGACTAGCATACTCATGGTTGGACCCAGCATGAATTCGTGTAAAGGTAAGTCTATGAATTCATATTTGGTTAGTACCAGGAAATAAATTCATGAAAAAGTTGCCCTAGCTTGATTGGACTTTGAAAAAAAAGCTGACAAAATATTAGCAGGCTGCGAATAAATGGTGCAAATTGTAGATTTTAGTGTATGAAAAGAGTGAGTATGAAAATCTATGAAAAAGAAACCAATAAAAACTGTTGCATATACAGGAAGAGCAGGGGGAGACTGTAACGCAACAAGAAACAATGTTAAACACAATTTTACCAGAAGATGCAAGGAAGCTGCAACGAGGCTCTGTTCATAAAAAAGTATGGCCAATGATCTTATTGATAGCAGCAGAATGACTGAGCTAGCATAATGATCAACATTCGAAATTTTAGCAAGCATTTAAAACTTTATAGGGAGAGCTACCGGGTCACTACTGACATTGAAAAAACTCAGGGCAATGATAAATGATATTTAGGACACATAGGTGGATAAAAGATATTTAGGAAGTACCTCTTTCAAAACAGTCACTTCATTTGACGACTGCAACGAAATCTGAAAAAAGCAAATAGAAATTAAAAAAGCATTTTCTTCTATAAAATGGAATGCATAAAAAGAAGTGTGCTTAGTACTTAATTAGGCAGAAAAAATTAGGTAACAGGAAGTTCCCCTTATGAATGTATGAAAAGTAGGATTTAGGCTAGATTACTTATGAATTAGATTTGTTAGTTGTTTATTGTATACAATTCATAATACTGCAAATTTAGCGTTACATAGATCGAGAGCATTTAATTTCAAGTATAATCATTAATACAATTCACCAGAAATTGCATTGCAAATGCAAACAGTTCAATGCAACAAAATGTGCCTGTCTTTTCATTTCAAGAAACTACCTTTGTATTCGTACCCTACTCCAGTTTAAGCAGAAATACCACACTGAAAGTAATTTAATGCAAGATGTAGGAAATAAAGAAGTTAAATCATTGCAATATTACATACCAACTCTTCCTGCGGCAAATTTTCGTGCTTTTGTTTCTCTGATTTGAGTTTTCGATCAGCACCTTTTGGCTAAGAAGGAAAATCAGACGCTGGAAGAGTGGGAAATACGCGTTTACAGATTGCAGATAGCCTGCCAGCCTTCTTTAAACTCTGAACAGGCAAGTTAAAATTTTGGTATCATCAAACACGTCTTGTTTCAATGTTGACATATCTGCTATTCACATCAAAAGGCCCAAACTTTCAATAAGGGGGCTGAGAGGTATTACCATCTTTGGGTGTTACCCAAGATGCATTGGTCTAGTTGTCTAGGCGTTGTCTAGGAAAATAGAAACCGAAATATGTTGCGCAATTTCAAATTCCGATTACGGCGGAACAAATGCCGATTGATGGCGGAATATTTGCGGATAAATGCAGACTGGCCTAGAAATTGCATTCTTCTTTATCTCATTCTCGCTGGATTGGGAATCATGGCCTAGTGCAACATTTTATAAATAGGAGAGGGTTAAAAATATTAGGGGTCGACCTTTACTTAAAGGGAAAGTATCGTTGAACATGATTGCAAGGAAATTTCGAATTTCGAAATTCTAGTCGAACTTTTTCGTCCATGAAACAAGGGGGTCTTAAAGAACTATGCCACCTAATTTGGCGTCAAATTTTTTTCTCTTGATACTTGAAGGTAAAAGCTATCTGAACATGTCTGCATATCTGAATATTGCCATGATCTGGGGTTGGTAAGACCCCCAAAACGGCTATTTAAATTTTGGCGGGAAACGTATCACGTGATTCTGTGACGTAAAGTTTACAACTACGGCATTGAAAGCATTGCACTTGGACCAGTTGCTGAATGGGGAGCATTGCCCCCCGGGAGGAAAATTTACTGGATGGTGATAATCTGGGGTATTTTGGGCGTAGATTTTGAATCTGGATGTTGATCGGGCGTGCGCGGAGGTGTTTCCAAGATATGGGGGTCGAAGGAAAAATTTCATGTGTCGCTGTATAAATCATTTTTGCAAGGAAAATACGAGATAGCGCTGTCTGCAGCTGTGCATTCACAAGCATATTCAATGTATTTCTACTGGATGACAAATAATATTCATCCCTAGCTTTTTTGGGGGGCGTAGGGATACTTCGTAGCATCTTACAGTTGGGTTACTGGCAAGGTGGCTCTCAGAAATCTTTTACTTGAGAATATTTTGATCAAAACGGGTCGGCTGTTTTGTTACTAGCAATTAATTCATTCAAAGTAAAGAAATATTTGCAAGTTAGGGAATCACACCTTATTGTGCTGCCTACAAATGCACCCAGACAGTACGGGCTTCAGCACTGTCGGAGTGGAAAAATTTAACATACTACAAATTTTCTAAGGAATGCAGAAGGTAGGGATCGTGCAAGTAAAACGTGAAACAAGAGCTTGTTATTTTCATTAGAGGAAATTATTGGCATCCAGATGTGGAAATGATGGAGGGCATGGGGGCTAAGGCTTTCGCGTTGGGAAATTCGGGCTTTCAGTGGATATTTGACAAACGTGACAAACCTTTTAACTTATGACTAAAGGAAAAAGAATCACTTATGTCATTGGTATAGGGGGCGTGGCGGTAGTCGAATATTTAATCATTTAGCGGGTAGGCGATTCTACTTCTGCTTGGCTGAATGAAACAAACTTTTAAAAAAAAATTTCTATTCTCAGGTTTCATTAACTGTATGCTGAAGCCATAAGCAATAAAACAAAATCAAAAAACAAAAAACTGCTCAAGCAACCTTCCAACCCTAGTTAAATCAAGGACGAAGGACAGAGAGTAGAAAGCTGCAAATTATTCATAAATCAAACCTTTTCCTCCTTTTAAGTAAAAACCTTCCCACTCAGTATCTTCATTCCCTTGTTCTAACTTGATCCCGTTTTCCGAACCACTACGTTCATCTCCTTCCTCTCATGAATTTGTTGTTAAATTATTTTATTTGCCGCGTTTTCTGTTTGTTAAAGTTGGTTCAAAACTGTAATGCACGACATCCCACAACAATATCCAGTGACAAAATCTATTTAAAAATTACTAATTTTTGCAAAATAAATCAACTGTTTGTGTGCGAGTAGCGAAAATTCTATGCATTTCAGGTGTAGGCCTGTCTCCGCTTGTCAACTTTTACGTCAGGTGGTCACGTGATACTTTTGTAAATTTGCGTCTACGGCACTCTCCAAATGAAATTTTTGTCGGGAAACCTTAAAATGCTTAATTTTGACCTATTTTCTACCGAAATTGTCAATAAAATGACAGGGTAAAATAGGTGGCATAAATCCTTTAACTTCGAAAGAACTTCGAAAAAAATAAATAGAAGGGGACTTAGATTTCTGACCTCAGAGCATCATCTCTCTCTATGTTTTTTCGAAATCGAACTAATATAAAGTAAAACCAGGCAAGAGTTTTAACAAACCAGAACCAAAAGACTAGTTTTGTAAATCTAATGAACCAGAACTGAAGAAGGCAGGAACAGTATGAAATTGATTAAAAGATACCTTGAAAACTTTGATCTGACAACCAGCAGAAGTCAGGGAGGTCTCTTCTGAGCTAAGCTCATTAGAACTGTATATATCGATTTGCAACCTCAAGGGTATTCCACTTTCGCCACCTAGAGATTTTGACAATAGAAATCAATCGAATTCTTGGATCATAAAGAATTTTAAATATTTCAGCTATACTCTTTTAGGGAAATCTAGCTGCATCTAACGTATATTTTGATACAAAAATAAACCGATTAGAAATAGTATACTTGAAAGAACTGTGGAGCATATTAGCAATGGGGTAAAACTACAACCTGTCACACACAATATAAGATAAGTGCAAATATCACACTTGATTGCTAATGAGTAATTTTCAGCTTTATTTTGAGGCGGGGCTAGAACTAACATGGCCAACCCCTTCGGCATCCACCTCTGTCTCTGTGATATTCTAATGAAACATAAAAAATATAACAATATTTATATTGATACTTTCAACGTACAAGAAAAACTGCTAATTGAAACTCAAAAATGGCTAATCATCATCGTCAGGAAGATAAGAAGGGAAACACCAGATTTCATCTAGGAAGTATTACTAAATACCCCATAGAAAAATCCTCCAGATTTGAAACACAAAAATTAAAACTACATAAACCACTGATCAGTAAGTTTATGTATTTTTATGTAGATTTTTGGTTAAGGATACACTGATAAAATCATACCACTTTTTCCTTTTGTAAACTCTGAGCTAACACAATTAATCTGAAAAGAACGAGATATACAAAATAATTAGGGTTGGTTCTTAAACTGGATCTGAAGAACGTGCTGGAAAAAAGGTTTATGAAGGCTATGTAATGAATATAGCAGCAGGAACACAAGTTTGGAAATGAAAACACAGTACTGCAGATTTTAAGGTTTACCTATCTCTTAGTCTGTTAACTATTATCAGAAAACCAGCTTTTGTTTTAAATTTTTTGGCTTCTCTATTACAATTCTGTAGGCAATGTTTTCAGGTTCATCATGCATGAAAGTGGTTTACTGGCATACTTGTTTACTATTTAATGAATAAGAAAACTTTTAACAAAAACCTAGAAAGATATCGAGATCAAAATGTTTTTTACATTTGGCATAAGATTATATAATTTCAGACCGCATGTTTAAAATGAATGAAATATTATATACACGAGATTTAAAAAACAACAGCAAACTGCATACACGAATGTAGCTACAAGTTACCTTGAAAAATAACCTTGTATCAGATTTTCTGTCCCATTTGAAATCTATGAAGTTTGAGTACTGGCTATTGTTCGAAATTTCATGAATCCCACCGCACATTGGAACATCTGAAAAAGTGTGCCAAAATATTTGCTATAGTGTATCAACGGTAAAAATGTGATCTAAAATTCTAGATTCTATTTTGTGGAATGGAGTCAAAGGTGGGACAGTACTCTTATCTACTCTTAAACTGCATACGATTTTTTTATAGCTTTGTCTCGGCATTAACAGAGTGAAAATTTCAAATGGAACCAAAACAGCATTGCATATGACAGATTACGACAATGATACGGGTGATCAAATTCTCACCAAACAAGACACTTTCAATCAACCAATCCCCAATAGAAAGACCGATTATCGAAGAATCATCTAAAAATAACAATTCTGGGAAACTCGGCGTTAACAGTAATGCATTCTTCTTTGACAGATTCAATGGTGATTCATTATATACGAGCGTGAATTTTATATTTGAAATCAAACAAAATGACCCTTGAAACAACTTTGAGGTAAAAAGGTATTCCCAAATCTTGTTCTGGTTTTAAGGTTTTCTCTCGCAAACAAATCTTGAGGTATGGTTATATCGAGAAGAAGGACTAGGACACTGCTCGATCAGCATAGCACAGAGTGTCCTGAAACTAGCTTCGGATGCTAGGTTGTAACAAAGACAAAACAAATTTTGCTGTTTTAAAATTATGCGACGAGCAAATTGAATAAACAGGAGACAATCACTCGCGGTGACACCAATCTTGCTCTCAGAGAAAAAACCCTTAGTATTTTAAGTTATATGTATAAAAAGTTTTCCACAACCACTGACGCGTGCATATAAAAACGCTGCAAGGTACCTATTTCAAGTAACCTTTCATTCGGATGGTTTGCGCTCCATTCATCAAACTTCTCCGATTCAATAACCTGATATTTTCTATCATGAAATCCAAGTCGTATGACGCCCTGCAAAATCAGATAACACGATCAATACTAATAAAAAAGATATAGAAATCTGAAAGAATAAACACATTTCTTGAAAACACAAAGAATAAACACACTGCTTGAAAACTTAGATAGAAGATTTGATTCAAAAAGCTTAAGGGTATCAGATCAGAAAACCAATTTAAAATCAGAATCACTAACGAAGTTTTATTATAAGCGGCCAAAACTTTCATAAGCATTAAACGCTTAAATTATCGGAGAAAGCGATTCAAGAGATCCAAGCTACTTTTATATTAAAAAACGTCGTAATGATATTCTTAAAAATATGCATGTGCTTTAATGGGCAAGTACTCAAAAGATACACTTTTATCAGTTAAATGGTGTCATGAAATATTAACAAACCAATTTAAAATACACAAGCGGCATGTTTTTATGAAGACTTTCGTGTCATTAATGAAAATACCAATATTCTTACAGAGCCTGTGAAAACCGTTGTAAAATATCTAAGAAGTCTTTTTTCGAAATTAAGGGCCCGTTCGCACTACTCCGTTTTCAAATGAAAACTGAGTCAAACTAATCCGTTATTGCCTTGCGTTCACACTACTCTGCTATGAAAACGGAGTCGTTTGAAAACGCTAATGAAAACGGATACTTTCGAATACGGTGCGTATTGAATACGCTCCATTTTCAATGCGAAGACATTTGAATACGCTAACAGCCAGGGGCGTAGCGTGCGGGGGTGTGTGGGTGTGCACACCCCCCGACTTTCAGAGAACTCGTCGGTAGAATTAAAATTTTAACAAAACATTAATGTGACAAAAGAATTTCTGTTGGTAAAATATGGTTTTGCATCTCTTACAACCCCCCCCCCCCCTCCCAGGCGGGAATAGTTACGCGACGCCACTGCTAACAGCGGAAACGAAATACGTGCTTTCTAGCATATCAAATTTCACAAATTTTGAAATTGAGAATTCACAATAGACTGGTAGCTGTTACAACAAAGTTTTTCACAATTTGCTTTTATTAAATTTCATTAACAATGAAGCCAATTTGCTGAGCATTCGCGAACGGCTCTTTTAAAAAATTTTTGTTGGAGCAGTGTGAACATTTACCGTATTCAAATCGTATTCATTTGAAAACGGATAAGTGTGAACGGACAGCGTTTTCATCAACGAAAACGGAGCGAAACGAATACAGAGCAGCGTGAACGTAGTCTAAGAAAATTGTCTAGTTGTGATTACTAGATCAATTAAAATTCGATTTCACGATTTCGACATCCTACTTTCGATTTTGCAAACAGAATAATGGAAATAATTGAAAACAAATAGCCCCTAAAAAACTATAACACTGAAAAGTCAATTCCAGAACATGCTCGCAACCCTTACACTGTACTAATCCTGGATGAATGACTTTACAGAAAAGAGTAAAAAATAATCTATAATACATTTGTAATGCATGAAATATAAAATGTGGAGCTTTGTTTATTTTGAGTATAACGCAATTACTACAAACTGAGTAGAAACAGAGCAATCACAGTAATCATTGAATTGTGCAATTTGTTAAAACATTAAAGTCTTACTTGTAGAAACTGTTCACTAGCAGGTAGCCCAGAGATGCACTGCAGCAAAATCTCATATGACTGTGCTGAAGATTGGCAAAAATGAAAAAGTGTGAATAAATTTATGTGGTCATTAAAAAATACTGAAAAATTCTAAAATTGCTGTTATTGAACTAAATTCAACAAGGCGCTGATTGTCTTATGCGAAGAGAGAGATAAATTTTACCATGGCAGTTTCTCTTCCAGAAATATTCTTTAAATCAAGTGATAGGTAACTGAATATGACAAGAGACAAAAATTCTTTCATGTAGTAATGACCACAGAATCTAGCAATCAGGAAAACTAGGCTCATGATGCCTTCTTTGGATCAACATTAGCAAGAAAAAATGTTTTTCTACATGCTTGATTATCAGTGCAGCTGTCCATTAATAACTGCATGACAGCTGAATCATGATGGACTTCCCTACTGAAATGGTTGCTTATTGAAAGAAAGTAATATATAGTTGTCTACAGAAACAGTTTCTATTAAGCAATTCACACATATGTCAGTGCCCATCTTACTGTTTATTATTGGGAAAGTTAGTACTGAAAGAGCATTGTCTACCGTGCAATACCTACAATTCATGTTTTGAAATACCAATATAGACAGTAAACTGTTTCACATTGCAATTTACCATATTGCCACCATAAAAAACACTTACCCTGATTAAGATAGGTTAGGGTTTCTTCATTTATCTTCCTTCCAGGAGATGTTGGTGCTTTCAATATCAGTGCAAATCTATTCGATAAAGATAAATTGCATCTCATAAATACCTTGTCCTTTACCCTGCCTCAACAAACTTTTTTTTAGAGAGTTTGAGTTTTTTGAGATGTCAAAACTTTAGAAATTTGCTATATTTAGACTTGTCATACAGTACTGAAACATTTTCTATTTGCTATCTATTTACATTGTTCAACTGGCAGCAAACAAAGTAATAATTCCTTCAGATATTATTAGAGCACCAGCATAATGGGCAAATTCCCTCTCCCTGTAGACACAATGTAATTTCATCTTCTCCTTATAGCAGTGTGTAATCAGGATTTTCAATAATGTTGACAAAGAAACAAATTTTTGACACTTTAGCCTGACCAGTCTTGCTTAACATAATTCAACATGGAGAAAAGTTTGCCATAGTCCTTTTGCTTGCCTAGGACTTTCCATGAATATTTGTGTGATCATTTAAAGACAGACCTTGGTGGAGAAGGGCTTCTGGGAACATCTTGAGTTTTCACTTCAGCTATTGAAATATTGCCTTGGACACTACAATAAAATTTTCACAAACCCCAGCTTAATTAAATAATAACTTCACTGAAAAAATTCAGCAAGGCTGATATGAATGTTGTTTACTTTTTTATCTTTTTATTTCACTTAGATTTCCATTGAGCACATAGCTTTCCAAGAACCAACAAAACTGAGACAGGCAATGCAGCATAAAAATTACTGTGATAGTTGTTTATAAATGATGGTTTTGTAGATTGGCAAACCTGTATTCAGAATGAAATATACTCAAAACCATATTTTATTTTTCCCATTTACCTCTGGAACTTAGGTTGGCTGAAATGATGTGAAATATCAGTGACAGTTTCAACAAAGCCATCATCTGACTTAAAAAGTGGGAGACTAAGAACTTCCCTGGAAAAGATACAAAGAGCAAATGATGATCAAGATAAACATATAATTTTTCCCTGTTAGTACCAATTTAGAAGCAGTTACTTTCACTTTCGTTGATTGCATATGCTTGAGAAAAAACAAGCTCTTTCTCATTAGAACTGCTTTCACATAATTGTACTGACAAAAGAAACCCAGTCAAGCATGATCTCACCCCCTTTTCAAAAACATTTGTCAAGGCATTTATTTATGTATGTTTTGTTTACCAATAAGCATTTTACAATTGTGATCATAAGAGTGAAACTGATAAGAAACATCACATAAATTACACTGTTTTCTAGCTGATTTTCAACCTGCGGCAAGAAGTGTCATGAATAGAAGTGACAAATATTTTTGCATACTGTTGACAATAATAACTAATTGTTGACCAAGGTCACTGCCTCACTCGACTTGAAAGATCCAAACAAAAGCTGTGAATTTAAGGGCAAAGAAGTCAACACCATATAAAATAGAACAGCAATAAAAAGAAAAAATCATAACATACGACATATTATATGCTTGTTGGCCATCTAAGAATTCAGCCCCTAGCCCATGAAGATTTGATAAATCAGTTGCAAGTTGGACTCCCCCATCAAGGTCATCAAGCCTCCAGCTATTTGCCATTTCTCTAATAGCAAAAATCATGAATTAATTCTGCAAAATATGTCACTGATTAAGAGTTTAGTATATGTAACTTTCAAAAATTTCAATTATCAGATACCATATTCTCTCTTGTATTCCTGCTGAGAGTTTATTAATTCAACATCCTTATTTAGTGTGGAAATATTGAAGAGGTAGGATTATCATAGAGACAGGATTACCACAGGCATAATTATCAGAGAGACAGGATTATCAGAGAGGTGGGATTATCAGAGAGGTGAGATGAATTTTTTCAGCGCATTTTTAAAAAGCAGGCTTAAATTTTCAATATGTTATTTTGTGTTTTGGCACAGAAACTTTGCATATAAATTGCAAAGAAAGTTGATGAAAGATGGTTGAAAAAACACCGATTGGCTAAAGCATTATTCACCCTTGCTGTCATAAAAAAGAATGACAAGACACTAGGCTGCATGTCTTGAAATCATTTAAAGCTCCAAGCATGTTTGCAATACATTGATTTCTTTTTTTAATCAAACCCATATGTGGGATTATCAAAGAGGCAAAATTTTATCTAGTTAAATTTCAAAGTAAAGAAAAAAGGCTGGATTATTAGAGAGGCCAGAATAGTAGAGGGGGTGGTAATACAATAGAGAATAGAGTATGCATATGAGCATTGTACAGTGTTATGATTATCAGCAATATTGGTGGTGCTTTCCAATTTCAAATCAAAAGCACTCCACTTTAGTTGCTCCCATGGGAATCTACGAAATTGGGCATTTTCCTTTTAGAGATGCTGACATTATAATATCTTTAAAATTTGCTTACAAGAAGAAATGGAAATGTTGTCTATTATCCAAGAAAGGTTTTTTCAAATTTAGTAAAGAAATTCAAACAGGTGCATGTTCAGCTTTGATGAGATTTTTCTTGTACAAACTTGTTGTCTTTGTTGAGCAATCCTGTGCTTACAAAACATCAGCACAATTATTTACCTGTTTGATGCATATATACTAGCTTGTAGTTTATTAGGTTGATCTGTATGACATTAAATGATAATTGATTATTGTTACCTATTCCAAATTTTTGCAACACTGTCAATTGGCAAAAAAATAGCACTTTCTTTGTATAAAATCACATTCATATATTTAAAAAAACAAACCTTTGTTTTAGTAGTGGTGTGTTAAGAATAGGTTTGCTTATGGAAGAGGCACTGATGTAACCAGTCACCGAAAGATTTCACTGAGGAATGCATTTAGCATCTATGGACATAAAAGAAGATTTAACATCTAAAAATATGTAGACAGTTTTGAAAATAGAGATCATCTATGCTCCACCACAATTAAAACTTTTATGTTTAAGATTCACAACAAAATACTTCCTAAAACAGAAATGTGAAAGAGATGTGAAAAAGAGTGCCTTGAATTTGTTAGGAGCTTGCATTATGGAGCAACTTTCATTTTACTTAGAGCAAGGCCTGTTGATTTTAGACAACTTGTTTATAAAAAGCCAATTTTTGGGGAAACTACTGACAATTTCACAGGCAATTCAAATATTGGTACATTCTCTTGCTGTTGTATACCAGGCCATGACACAACATCAAATAGTGGAGCAAAGGGTAAGCAGATTATTGAGGTTTGTGCAAAGGACGCATCAGCACAAAGGGTCAGATAGATAATTTCTTGGCACAAACCTTGGCCCAGAGCATTACTTAGATTGACTTTGTTGTACCAATGTTTTTTTCAGTTACAATGTCAATACAACACAAAAACAATCAAATAGTTAATTTCTGATCAATATCACATAGCTATTTTTCAGTTTTATTCAGTGGAAAAGATAAAATCAAGGCACATTTTCAAAAATGATATAAATGAAATACTACATGGTGCATGCACAATATTTCTAAGGCATAATCTTTGATGCACCATGGTCGCCAGTTTTATCTACTTACTTGGCTTGTTTGATTTCTTTTGATCTATTTGTCTAGATCTTATGAGAAATTTTTACAGACAGCAGCATGATAATGATTTCCAGGCAATACAAAAATGTGGAAAAAGTTAAAATTCAATCGTTCAACAAAAAGTATGATTCTTTTAGAAGAAGTGTGACTTGCACAGCGGTGTCATTTCCATAAAATGCATCATTTATCACCCCCATGCTAAAGATAACTCGAACAAAATATCGCTTCCCTTTTGGTTTTAGCAAAGTGTAATGTTTTCACGATGAAATCTGTGGGGCTGGCTTAATTGATCCTAACAGTTACGAAAAACAAAAGGAAACCTTGTCCCCAAAGCAATCTTTTTGAGGGACAGGATGAGTACCACAATAACCTTAAAAACTCTCTCGAAGACAACAAAATTCACGGCAAAAAGGTAAGGAGTTTCTTACTTTCTAGCAGGAATCTTTTCCATATTCTTTTTCTGGCGCTAATAATTCATCAGCCCCGTTTCCAAAAAGAGGCATACATAACAAGTTTCCCATTTCATTTCATTTTATCATGTTTAAAAACAGAAACCCTAGCAGCTACTAAGTTAAAAAAGAAAAAGTAAAGATTAATTTATATATAATGCTGGTCTTCCTAGGTATCGTGCTTCGGGAAAGGATGCTAATTTTGCAGGAATTCCTTTAATTTCTTTTTGAACGTGGTAATCGTGGAGCTCATTCTTACCTGTAATGGAATTTCGTTCCACGTCTGTGCACCACCAAGGGCGCTGGAAGCATTTTGAGGCGGCGGGGGCCAGGGGCGAAACTACTGGGGGGGTATGGGGGGTGCTGCACCCCCCCAATCTTCAAAAAAGCAGATTTTGTCGGGCAAATTTATGGCTGCTAGTGTATCTGTCGGGCAAATCTGGACATTTTCTTTAGGTTGCACTTTATTGCTACTTTTTGCCCTAGGTTGGTTTTTTAATTCATGGTCTTTTCCCCCATCTTTTTTTCAATCTCCTCCCAGTTGGGAAGACAAAACAGAAACGAGGCAAGGAACAGCAACATACATACATTTCTGTCTTTCGTCCGTCCACTGATCAGCGCTTTCATCTGGAGCTCAATGCGCACATGTTTATCTTCGCCTCGAGATGAAGTCTGAAGTATTGATCGACAGCAAAAGTATAGACAGAAAGTAAAGTGTGTTTGAGGCGAGAAGGAAATGAACACTGTGTATACCCCTCCCCCCTACTTTTTGCAAAACAAGTGAGCTTTTTTCAAAATCTTTTGTTGTGATTTCTAAATTTTCTCTTGAAAAGCCCCCCCTCCCCTCAACTTTCCATCCTGCCTCGGAGCCCATAGAACACTGACAGTTTTAGAAGCATCATGAATCAAAGCATGAAGGATATACCATCTCGGAATACGTTGTTGAGAAAATCAATCAATATTTTCTTTTCCAAATGTATGAAACTTTCATTCATGAAATCAAACATGTTTTAGAAATTTAGGTCAGGACATTTGAAGAAGACATCATTTGGGTTTTTAAACATTTCATAACATCAACAGGAACATAATAAAACTATTTACAATAAACATGATCAAACGTGAACACCTTTTCATTACAACGTGGCGTGAACAACTGACTAATGCAACTTCGAGGTCTAGGAACGAGTGAAGGATTAACCGCGTGCTGCTCCTTCAAGCGGGAAGTAATATAAAATTTATCAAGAAACTGTAGTTAAGATATGAATTGCAAAAAATCTTTCGAGTTTATTCTATTTCTGAACAATATCCATGATTACGAAAACATGAAAATTGAGCTTTGATGATAGGTATACCTGTAAAATACCTCCAATAAAAAACTTTTCTTTGCTTGAGGGATTTTGTTATGGTGAATTTAGATATACGTACTTTGTGCTTGGGTGTCTAAAAATATTGAAATTGCTTCCGGAGCAACCGAAAATTGAAAATGAAACTCAGAGAATGCAACTGAAGCTCTTTTTTGTTGGAACATTGTAATCTGCGTAGCTGTTTCTAAATTCCGAAATTTCCAAGCTGTGTTTTGGTGTTCCACTTTGATAAAATTGAGACCCTACTTCAATCTCTTTTTTGAATTGCTCTCTTAATAGCTAGGTGAGTTAGAAAGTGAAGAAGACAGGTCTTTTTCTTTTTATAGAAAAGACAGGCCTTACAAATGCTTGCTTTTCGGAAACAAATGTTTATAGCCAACACCAGAAAAACTAGAGGCATATTTTTTGACTTAAAACAAACAGCCTGAGTCTAAAGACCCTCTCTCGGGCTTCCCGATGATTTCAGCCCTTGAGGCGATGTGCTCTAAAAATGAAGTTCATGTAGGACACGCCCTTTCATCAAGCATGCCACGCCCTTTCGTCGGGCAACTAAGCTTCATACCCCCCTAATGAAAATAGTGAAGTTTCGCCCCTGGCGGGGGCAGCTACTCAAAAAGGGCACATTTTCAATGACTATTATTAGAATTATAGCAAAAAAATTATATAACATAATACTTTGGTACCGATAAAACGTTTAACCTAGAAGGCCAGTCTAAAATTTCCAATTCTGTTGTTTAGGCTTTTGTTGGGGGGGGGAAGGGGGTACATTAACATTTTTGAAGGTAGGGGGACGTGCCATTTTTTAGGGGTTCCTTTTTTTGAAAAGTGCGGCATTATCGTTATCAGTTTTTGAAATATGTGCCGAACTATGGGTACCATTTTCGAAAAATATGGCAAAATTATTAGGAGGGAGACTGAGCATTAACAAAATGAATGTCCAGTTAGAAATGAAAGTATAAAACATGTGCAATATTAAGATTTTTGGCAAAGGACATGCAAAATTTGTTTGATGATTTTGTTGTGCTTTAAAAATGTTTAGCTGCTTTGCGGAATTATGGGCATAGTTTTCATCATGATTGCGGAATTATGGTTCACATTTTTCAGATATGTACGGAATTATGGGTCCAAATGTTTTAACCAAAATGACACATCCCCGTTCAAATTAGACTTAATTAATCCCCCCCACCCCGTCAGCTGTTGGCTGGCGTGTTGTATCACACTGCATTGTTCTAAAAGTACGTTCTGCAGGTGCAGATGAAAGTGCTAATGAATTGTACAATTGCAATGACTTATGAGCTCTGGCAGGCATTCTTTATGGCATTCAATTGAAGTTATGATTGATCAAAAGGGTTTCCATCTTTGTTACCTTCTTTATTGGTATGGCAACTTCTTTCTTATAAATTCTGATGACTTTGCTAAAGTTCACCTCATTTTTAAAAGCTTTTAGATTACTTCAATTGAAGCTTCTGCTAGTTAACTTGGATTAGTGTTGCGTATTGCATTAGTGTTTGAAATGCTCTACTACAGTTCGTTAAAGGGGCCTCCGTTACGCCACTCACCTAATTCTACAGTAATTTCCTACATTTTAGAGTGTTGCCGAAAGAAATAGCGTTATTGCATATAAGTTCATAACAAATGCACCCAATATTTTAATTGCTTTCATTTTGTTCCTAACCGCACTAATGTTTTATCTCACCCAAGAACTTGAGATTTTAAATATTTATTCCATTTGCATAAACACAGTGCCATTTTCACAAGGGCACAGTGCTGCCCCCGCTGCCCCCGTGCTTCCGGCGCCCCTGTGCACCACAGTAGAAAAAACTCCTTTTGGAGAATTTTAGGTTTTGCCTTGGGATGTCTAAGTGAAGGCAATTTCTTGTTGAATAGTTAGATATTTGGGATCTTGTGACAAGTCTTCCTTTCAAATTGTCAGGGCAGAGACCATTTATTATTTTGTAGATCATTACTGCCCGGTCAAATTTTATCAAATTTGAGACCAAAAACCAATTGCAGCTCCACCCGTCCTTTAATCTTGAGCCTTCTATTAGTGTGCGCGCAATTGTAAGGTCGTAGATGACGCCCCCTCGTTCATTATAGGGATTTTTGAAGACCCCCTTTTCTCATTCCAAACTTTGCTTTACGTTTATCAACCCTTCCGTTTATTAAACTACCCCCGTGCATTAAATGTTGAATTTGGCCATGCCCCCAGCATAAGCGTACGAGACAGTGAGGCTGCGGGAAATAACTCAATAAACTGATAAGATCGTAAAAATAAAAAGCCAACAGGGTAGAAAAGGTCCAATCTTTTCTTCGCTGGTATGACTATCATAGCCAGGATTATAATTATAAAGAAAACCGTTAAGACACTCGACATCAGTCAACACGAAATTTATACGATTTCAAGATTTTTATAGAAAGAACTAAAATAAGAGATATCACGGCGAAAATAAGCAGGCTAAATGATCTTATATGTAGAAGACTTTTCCTTTTCAATTCCAGTGAAAACTACAATTACAAATTTCTCTATTAAATAGGCAATTTGTAACTGGCTATCCTGTTTTTATAAAACAAAACTATTACAATCGTAGTGATTTAGTTATTTATAAATATATGATTTATAAAGCTTTAACATCAAGAAAAGTTTTGCTTAGTTCTACCGTTGTTCTACAAGACAGTGAGATAGTAAATTATGTTTGTTGTTTTTTATTGAAGTTCACATTGTATGCATCTAGTAGCAACAACATCTTATGCTGAATTTATATATTTCAATCAAAAGCAGCTCTAAATTTCTCAGATGCAGGCACTGATATTGTTAGGTTAAGTACTGATCAAAGTTTTGGGTGCTATCTTTGCATATGACTCGAAGTGCTTGTTCATGAATCCTTTTTATCATATTGTTTAATTATCGATCTTCAATCCTGCATACAAAAATGGGAAGAAGCTGAAATAAGATATCATAAATAAAGTAAATTGTGAGAGCATATTCGAGGGGCAAATCACTCTTGACAAGGGTGTACAAGATTAATAATCACTAGTGATTAATCTGTGATTAAATCAATTTTGTGTGTGATTAATTTGATTTTTAGTGATAAAAGTGATTATTTTTTTATTAATTCTTTATTCTTTAGAAAATGAATCATAGATTCAAAAGTTCTCTCAAATAATTTCATGCTCAATAAACGTCGTCAAAGATTTTGCAACATACTTTGTGAAATTGAAAAAGAAAAATTAGCAGTTCAGTTCAGGGGTAGATCCAGAAAAACTTTAGACTCTTGCAGATTTGCAAACGAAAAAGGTGCAAAATTTTAATAACATTAACAACTAAAAACAGAGATATCTTTTCTGAACAGCAGGATAAGCAAAATATTAAATCAGTATTATAGGTTGGTGACAGTAGCCTGAAGTGAAAAACAGTGAAAAGTGGTTGATCACTTTGAATGAGACATTAAGACATCAAGAAACCTTTCTTGTATCAAAATTAACGCATAGTAACTACTTGGCCATAATGTTTATTTGAAGCTTTTGGACAATGCCTAGGATCTTATTGTGTTTAAATCTATGGTGTTAATGTTTTCGATTGAGCTTTCGACCAACCTTAAAATATCATGTTTTGAAATGCTGCTTGCAGCTAGACATGGTGACGGCCTAAACCACTTGTCAATCTTAATATCTCCCAAACATTAATACTTGGTACATCCATTCACGAGAGGCGGCTTCTTCGCGATATCATTTCATTTCTTGTCTTCCGCAGCTTGAATAACCAACAAATGGACTTCTAGTTCAAATATGATGTGAAATATAAAACATATTTCAAATATCTTTGACAACCTATTTTACCTGTATTTAACAGTGATGCAAGGTTACCGATTATACAGTTATATAACATTCGTACTCAAAAACCATTTTCATCTGCTACATACTTCATACTAATGCACGTTACGTCAAAAATTATGTCAGTTGGGTTAGAGACTTGTGCGCATCTTCTTGCTCAGAGTTGAAAAAAGTGGCTGCTGAACGGCCAGCACTTGTCGTATTTAATCAAACAGCCGGAAAATTCTAATATAAACTTGATTTGTTGATACTTCTTAGCAGTTGTCTGAAAACCTGCTATCAGAATTTGAATGATAATAACTGAGTCATTGATATAAGTTCTAATGAAAACATTTTCAAAATTTAAAGACCCGTGTGATTTTCATCTTCTTTGCCGTTCTCTGTGTCAAAGGACTGAACAATCAATAGATAACCATCGGATGTTGCTATTCAAAATAAGCTTTATAACATGGATTCAGCCCTTGCTCTTACAGGCGCATAAGACCTAGAAACGTAGGCGGAAAACCTAACTTTGAAGTGATCAGGTAGCATGACATATACAAATGAAGCAGTTTTTTTCAGTTTTAAATAAAAAACAAGAAAGTACACGCACTACTCTAAATTCAAACAAAAAGAAGACAACAAATTGAAACGGTTCAACAAAACCTAGCAAGTACATGACTTAAATAAAGAGCAATCTAAGAAAAATTTTGAGAAATTGAAATATCAATGCTTTTAAATGGTTGGTTAAATGATTCTTTATATACCGAAAACATTTCATTTTACGCCCTTTGGCGTCTTTAATACAAAAATAAAACAATCCAAAGATTTGTTCGACTTACAAAAAGTCTCGTTCCATGCCGCATGTTTGGAGGCATGCGCAGATCTCAGCTCCAGATTTAAGTTGACTTGGCACTTTATCAGGATTCATTAACCAAAGGGTCATCAGTAATCTGTGAAAGTTTCATGCTTTTATCACTAACTAGAACAATTCTGGGTTATTTTGGTCGTTAGAAGCTGGACTTTCTTAAGCAAAGGAAACTCGCTTGGTCTCGCTCGACGTGTACAGGGTTAAATTAGTATGTATTCTAAAAATCCTTACTTCTGCTTGATCTACAAAGCAGAAGACTAACGACTGCTTTTCTGAAGTTCTTATTCAACACAGTATAAAGAAAGGGGTTAACTCCAGAGTTTGAGTAGTGCAAGCATTTGGTTACAACGGACAACTTAAACGTCACAAGTTTCGGATGCCACTGGAACAGCATTACAGTTGCGATAAAAGGCGTCCATGTAAGTAAGAAAGCCCCCATTATAAAATTTAGAGTCCTCGCAGCTTTCAATTCCGCAGCTTTGTTGCTGTTTACTTCACTGTTATCAGTCGTGCGATGCGTTCCAAATTGCGTTTTGAGGGACTTCAAATGTATTGTTTCAACTTCGTCCCAGCCACTGCTCCTACACCAATTTACATCTCTAGTAGGAACATCTGAGACCCTCTGACTTTGACCCACACTTTGACTATCATTCAAATAAGAATCAGGCACTTTCCATTCGGGGTCGTTTCTTTTGGTTATAGCACTGGAACTGTTCATGTCTGCTTGGCTGTTACCGTAGCCTGACTTAGCAGCGCCAACTGTTGAGGAGAATTTTCCAAGTCTCTGTACTTTCTGCATTTGTCTACTTAAACGCACAGTCTCGAGAAAGATATTTAGGTAACAGAACGCCATTACACATACCTGGATAACGAGTCCTGCAATGAATATGTAATAACGGAAGACAGCCCCGGAGATGAATCCAGTAGTCTTAAGATACGAGAGGCATACTGGAATTAAAGAATACAGCCAAATCAATGCAAGACATATATTGACTCTTGTACCAGTGACGAGCGAATGATATCGGAGAGCGTCTTTTATGCAAATGTATCGATCAACAGCGATAAATGATAAACTGGTTGCAGAACCAAAGCCGCATAATACATCTAGACCTTCCCACAGCCAGTACACAAAGTCGAAGCTTGTTGAATTTCTTCTTGGTTTCCCAGTTAGCAAATATGAGGCCCAAAACGATAACGGAAGGCACCCAACAAGGAAATCAAAGACAGCAAGATTCAAAATGAAATAGTTTGTTGGCGTACGGAGTTTTCTGAATTTGCAGAAGGCGCAGAAGACAAGGCCGTTACCCGCTAAGGCTGCAAATGCGATAATAGCCGTCGCAACACCAGCAGTTACTCGTTCTGTTTCAGTTAAAGGCACAGAATATGTGACAGTGCTGTTCGCCATTATCAGTTACAAAATCAGCAGCACGTCTTGCCGTGGAAGAGAAAATTGTTCTTGTCTATGTTTTGTCGGTAGTTTTATCCTCGAAACATCTCTAAATAACCGGAATACCACAAAAGCCTTTTCTTGAAACACTTAAAACAACAATGGCTGCAATCAGTTGTTCGGAAGAAGCTCATTTTCTATATATTGATTGAAGTGAACATCTGCATGAAGAAAACTTCGCGTTCTCCCCAACCATCACCTGGTTTCATTGTAGCATTTCTCTCACTCGGCCTTGCGACGCAAAGATTAACAGAGCACTTAGTATTACAAAAGCACAGGGCAACAATGTTTATCGATACTCAATCATCTCTCAGCATAGGCTCAGGTGCAAGCTCCCTTGCTTTATTTGAGACGAACCAGATTTGCCCGCATGGAAGCAGCTTAATATGGGCCTGAAACGAAAAGCAACGTGTAGGAAATTAGTTATCAAGAATTATTTGAAAATATCATCTGATTTTCAGCGAAATAGTTGTTTGGCAAGCTAAAAACAGTGTACTCATAATAAATAAAGACTAATCTTACTAACAACTCAAATCCGATCCTCCTCGAAGCATAAACTAAAGCATAGGAAACTCTTTTTTTCGCTTATACTTCAATTTTATTCTTTTTATAGGAAAGAGACTCTTCAAACTTCTTGTCGGGCTTTTCATCAAAATCAGCATTTGCATTGTAAGCAATTTGTATTTGTTAAAAAGCAAAAGTGCATTCGAGTTAATATTTGAGGTCGCCTCTAATATTTGAAAGATGTCCTTTCTTAAGTTAAGCTTTTTTGTACACCAATTTTGTATAATATTGGTATGAATTTAAAATGCTAATTTCTGTTAATTAATGCCTAATTATTAATCATAAATCTACTTGGCTCTTGGCTAAGAGTGAAATGAAAAATTCCTAGTTGGAAATTTGCGTAGTCGAGATGGCATTAGATTTGTCTACTTTTCAACTTCCAAAGTCTTTCCTACGTCCTTTGGTCTAATGTCATTTCATGATGATGCAACTGTATTTAAAAAATGCATTCGATGGAACAGCCGTTTGCGCATATGGTGACAACATTGTTAGGAGTGATACAAAGCTCGATGGGGAAGCATAAATCTGGATCCGATGGCCGATTACTGGATTGGGTCAGTATGAAATCGGTTAGGCAGCTAGCAAGCTCACCTTATGCCTTAATAGTAAAAACGCAGCTACAACTTAATTATTTAATACCACGTATTTTAGTGATTAATGAAATTCACGAACTCGCTTTCATACGAAAAATTAGTTAACTATAAATAAATTACAAAAGCGAGAAAATTAGTGTCGGCATTAAATTACACGCTTTTCCACATAGAACTTTCCGCAAACTGGAAAAAATCGTATCTAAATGCAAACATAGATTTTTGAATTTGCTTAAAAAATACAAAGCAAGAGACTAATTTCATGAATTTAATTAATGCGAATTTAAATATTCAGTTAAGTATGCGCTTTTCAGAAAACCATATGCTAAATGGCACTTTAAAACAGCGTTTTTGGGCAGTAAAATCATTTAAGTTTTCTCATAGGATCTATTAGAGTCAATTTAAGTCACTAGTAACGTTGAAAGAAAGAAAAGGGGATACGATTTTTCCCTGTCTACCAAACAAATGGTACTAGATGGAAAAAGAGACTTTTAGCAAGTCCAATAATCAACTAATAAATGAACTTCAGAAAGTTTCCTGGAGAGGTTCCCCCAGTCTTGGTTTTTTTATTTTGGTTGGCCGTTCTACTACCAAACGGATACTCTTACGTACAAAAGTTAGGGATATCTGCTATCACAAAAGGTCCTTCCAAGTCAAAGATGTGTGTTCACAAATCACACAATTTACTTCCTGTTTACAGTGATCTCCAAAAAAGTTTCTTTTTTATTAAAAATCGTTCCCAAAATTAATAACCCAAAGAAAGCAAGGCAAAGCGAAATCAAAAGTTCTCAGGGTATAAACGTCGAATAAAATATGTCTAAAGACAAGCAGAAATGTATTTCCTGAAAAAAGTGAATTATCCCTTCTATAAATCTTTTCTAATCTAAAGATAATTTGGCATTTGAATTCCGATCCTTCTGTTCATGAATCCTGATAAACTAACCCAAAAGTTTGATTTTACTACTTACCTCACTATAGTACAGCTCACTAAGCAGCTCGTAATTCACATGCAACGTGACCAGTTTAATTCATCAACATACTCGTCGTATTTCTGGATTTCAACTATGGATATTATGCGGAACAAAAAGCGCTGATATCCCCACCTGCTGTGCACTGGGGAAAACTTTGCAAAATACATACACACCTTAACTAAATGGTGGCAGTACTGTTCTTTTATATTGGAGAACCTACATGCTAATTGCGGTTATAATAAAATAACGTGCAAGCAGTTGCGGTTAGCGTGAGTTGCGAATAATTTCCTTGCAGAAAAACAACGGAATATTTGCTCGGTTTACAGTTGTTTTTAGCTCGCTCTCTTTTCGCCACCACATTAGCACATAAAACTAGAGATTATATCAAACATGGTCTAAAAGAGAACATTAAAAAACGTCACACAGAAAGAGCGGCTAATAAAAAAGCTTGCGAAGGCAATAAAAACAGAAGAACAGTAGGTTGCTTTTCACCTATTTATAGTATAAATAAGGAAAGATTTCGGCGTCGTCCTTTCCTCGAATAGTTTACGTAATTTCGTTCAAAAAATTAATATAGCAGTCAGAAAAAATTCCGATCAAGATTATTAGTTAGCTCCTTATCAAGTTACGAATTAGCTCCTCATTATGTGGTACGCTGTTGTTCTTGCTACGTAGAAAGTTGCATTACATTACTTCTACGCTAATTCGGATTTGCTGGGTTCTGAAGTCTTTTGTCTCGTCTGCCCCCTTATAATATACCTGAATGCTCTGTATCGAAACAAAAGGAAATATTTTCATATTTTCAATATTTCCCATTAGGTGAATCTCCAACATTTACTTGAAAACTCGATGCATGTTTGGCTTATTGAGAAGTGTTGGTTACAATAGCTAAACCTTTAGAAAACCAAACTATGTCATCCCTTAACAAAATATGAGTTGATCAAAGCTTGCTTTGAAGTTTACTTTCTTCTCCTTAGATAAATAAACATTTAAAATTCTACTGCCTTGTCCTTTATTCATATCGGCCCTGCAGACAGAGGTAATATTTCACGCAACCTTTGGCTATTTGGCGCACAAAAATTGATGATTTTCAAAAGAGAATGTCCTACAAATAACATCTTACACCATCATTATATCACAGAGCAGAGGTTACATTTCTATTATGTGATTATACCTACAAGTGACTATCCCTTCCATCCTAACTAAATCTACTATATTCCTAGGTTTTCCGCGAATTTCTACATATCCGCATGATTTCATATATACTGAAAATTGAGAAAACTTTGAACTAAACAGGTGTGCAGCGCAAAATTTTCGATTTAACAACAGAGTAAATAAGATAACCGTATGTCTAAATGCAAATTTAATGGAAAGGTGGTTTAAAAGATAGTATGATGCAAGTTAAATGCCTGAGAACAACCTGGCTTGGAGAAAAGCAATTGTTTAACAAAAAGGATCAGGTTTCATAGAAACTGCGATATCGATGCTTTCAAATTTAGACAGGTGTGATATTAATAACATTTAACGTAATTTTTAGACTCAGTACTGTATTATATTGGTAAATAGACAGGTTACTTTATTTTGTATTCAGTTTCATGTATTTTCCTTTCATTTGACTTATATGGTAGGTTTGTAAAACATTTAAATGAAACTTATTAACTTGTATAATGCGGTTTGCTTGTATAACTTATCAACAAATGAAGTTTTATCAGAGTTAATTTCACGAGGGATGTTGTATAATTTTATTTACTAGGGGCTTTATTTTATCTGAATTGTCTTTTTCCCTTTGGGTGTCATTTATCATGCTTTCATTCTGGCAGTTGGTCCTTGTATGCCCCTTTTTCGATGCATTTGGGATAAAGGCCGGAGGGGTTCTGTATTTTGGGTCTCTACACGGAGTTCTTGGTCCCTTGGCTCTGATGAGGGTATTTAAGCGTTTGGGTGGGGCATATCGTGATTGTTGGTAGACTTTTCAACGCTCTTCCCTTTTCAAGTCTTTTTTAAAATTTATTTGTTCTCTTAGGAATTAGAGCTTACTTACATCACAGTATTCTTTAAAAGGTCTTGTTGTTTTTTGGTTTAGGATGGGTCCGGCTTTTTATCCTGTCACATTTTGTCTTTCCCTTTCATACCTTAGGAATCTAAGGCAGGGCTGGAGCATCGGCTCCCTGGTGGGGAAAAGTGATCTTTTCTTGTCCATTCCCTGCCCAGAACTTAAAACAGCTTGCACTTGAGTTAATCAAGCTATATCTAAGGTTTAAGGTTTTTTCTTGGGTTAGGTGGAGCAACTTGTGCCGATGCACCAACGGCCCAACGTTGCTCCCCGTGATGAGGGAGCGTAGCCTCAATGCCTGACTTCATGAGGGATGTGGCAATGTTATTTCTCTGAGGGAGCTATTTTTATCAAAGTGAATACATTCCTCTGTTGATGTTATTCTCCCGAGTAGAAAATTAAAATACTTTAAAATGCAGTGAAAAATAAAAACAAGACAGATTATGATATAAAATGATCGTGATGAATTTACCTTGCAATAAACTGAATCGAAAACCACTGGCGAGTAATGATTTTATTCGCAGCATTCGAACCCTCGCTGCCACTGAGCAACATATAAAGGTGCGATCTCTGAGCGTACTGAATAGCAAGCGAGGCCTTGTGATATGATACAGTCATATCCTATTAATTATGAAAGAGGCATGCATAATAAGGCGAAAAAGGTCTCCTGAATAAGAGGTGGGATTTGGACTCAATGAATCCTTACAGCGATCTTCTTCTGAAACTGAGACTCAAGATCCCTTTGACACAGAGGTGCCTTGCAAAGAGACGACACAGATGCCTCATTAAGGAGCGAAACCGTTCGCACAATGTGAAAAATGGAAGCAAGCGACAGGTTAAAAAAAGATTTTAACATCATGTTATTAAAGGGGAAAACGAGCTAATTCGGACATTCTTCTGCAAAGGGCGTTCCCGCAGCATTCTTTAACTCATGATAGGTTTCTTGAAGAGCAAAATGTTTGCCAAGCCTTTGAGGAAATCTTCTTGGTGGCATGAGGAAACATATTCATTTTACCGATTGGTGAAATACTCAGGTCAATTATAAACATGTATAGAACCAGTAGACTAAAATTTGAATTCCGATTCCGGCATGGAAAAATAAGATGCAATGAAGTTATTCAAAAGCAAATATCCGCACATTAAGAGGGACAGCGCCCACAGCTTGCGAAAGAATGTATGTTTTTGTCGGTTGTGGAGTGATAAAGAATAATATATAACATATTGACGATTTCTTTCGATTTGTGCCTGATGAACACAAAGAGAATTTAAAGCATGCTCAAATGAGTTTGGTAAGAGCCAAAATATTTTACTCGGAACTGTAGACACCTATGTTTGAATTCTTAAACAAATTTTTTGAAATTATCAATACTTGTTCGCTTTCGTTTGCTTTTTCTAGAAGGAGTAAACCTAGATTTTAGAAACCGTAGACGCTTCGTGAACAATTGAAAAAAGGTCATCAACAGGAAAATATGAAAATACATAGCAATCAAGCTATACCTTTCAAGGAATTCGGAACCGCATTATTTTCTTAGCAAGAAGATTACTGATGACGACAGGAAGCTATCAGCGATTAGATCCACAGAAAGGAAAGACTAATCAGCAAAAGTGCTGTTGAATTCGAGATTTTACAGCATGCACTTAACTTAGCCAATGCTTTTTAATCTTGAATGCAATTTTATATTGATGATCTCTTTGTGGACCGATAGCTTCATTATCAATACTGTTTGCACAAAACGACAAAATGTGAAATGAGTATGAATGAAACTATGATTTCAGAAGGAAAATTTCTACCCCTGGGCATGGTTTCTCCAACGATGGTTTCTTGTAGGCAAAACCTTCATTTGGCAAAACCGATGTCTTAGACCCCGTTTACACGAGACCTGGACCACATCAGATCCACAAGTATCTCGATACTTTTGGATCTGATCCCTGAAATGGCAATGCGGTTACAGGTGATCTGATCCAGAACCATTTGCATTTACACGGAAACGGATCCAGATGAATTCAACAGGTTACACACATGGGCTTATCGAATATTGGTGTGCATATGGCATTTTCAGAACTTCGTGATCAAAGCACAGTTCAACCTGAACATGGAGGGAGGTAATGCTAAAAAGGGTCAGTTTTCGTGGACTGAAGAAGAAACTGTGCTACTTTAAAAAGTAGTATTGGACTACAAAACTGCAAAGCTAGCAGGTGGGCAGAATTGGGAAAATATGAGGAAGAATTACAACGACATATCTTCAACATTTCGTAATATTTCTTCAACACAGTAGTCTGTCAACTTGATGTTCGGTTTCCTGGTGCAAAAAAGCCACGGACTACCGATCTGGACCAGATCCACCCGTTTACACGGGATCCGGTCCAGATCGGATCCATACAGGATCACCTTTGAAAGCAATCCCAAAACAGTTTGGATAGCGGATCCAAAAGTATACGGATCTGCCAGTTTCCGTGTAAACGCAAGACCTATCTGTACTCTTTTGGATCCAATCCACTCTCGTGTAATCTTAGTGGGGCTCCTTGATATATTCTATAAAGGAAGTGGAGTAAAAAGCATCCTGTATATCTAAGAGATGTTTTTCTGTTGAAATTGGACAGAAAGCGGAGGAATGTCATACTTGAATATCATATTCAGGCACAGATCGAAACCAATCAAACATCTTTTTCAAACATATTGTAGTAACAATATTTCGATATTTATGCTAGGACCATTACATTCATTCATTCCAATTACTTTTCCTTTGCGTGCTTCTTTCACAGCTCCGCAACATTCAGCATGTCACTTACAACAACATTCGAAGCATGTCATAGCTTCAGCAATCAATTTTTATATAAATGCATGTAAATTTTAGTTTGTAATTTAGTCAAGGATAGTCGCGAATAATCATGGTATAAAATACGCCTGATCTTTTCTCTGGCTCCGTGCTCTCTGCACGTAAAATAAGACGTATCGCAAGTTGGAAATGACACGTTAGCCGTTTGGTGTATTTGTTAGTGAACGAACAGCATCAAAGAATCAACATCAATGCGCAATTATCGTTTTGCTAAAATATTACTTTCGGTACTCATTAAAGTATACATATCTGTACCTTTTGGCATTCTCCGACGTCTAAACTCTGAGCAGCGTTGGGCCAAAAGTGCTTTATTGTGTCATGTTACCACTGTTTCGAGCTACTTTCGAATTTTACGGTACTAAAGGCTTATTTTGAAGTCCTTTCCTTGACTAGCCATGTATATCAAAAGAACTTATAATGTAGATAGCTATGGCTTGACCTTCTTACAGATAGCTATATCTGGTCGCCAGCTGGCAGCTTTTTAATACAAATGACTTGGACCTTCTTTACTTCAAGATTATTACGAACATGATTCAATGCATCAACATTTGAAAGGAATATTCAGAGGCTGAAAATTCCTTTCAACAAATCAATGCTTGAATTTCTTGACAGAGGTTTGATCAGCCTGAAGAAGGGGGGCTGCTTTCATTCAGAATAGATAAGCAACAATATTATTCAACTAAAATAAAAAAGGCCTCAATAAAACGTAGGTATTTCAACTTTTGTGATTTTTGTATATCACTGCACAATTCATGTTGGCATTTCTGTTTTCATTGCAAAGGAATATCCAATAGCGATATGAGTAAAAGGCGGATTATTTGGTTGAGATAAGCTTACTGATAAAGCTATACAATATTCAAGGCATATCACCATGTTATGATTTAACAGGTGGAAATATTGTGAACTATGGCCCTTTTCACACGATACCGGATTCATTTAGTATCGGATCACTTTTCATATCGGATAGGCCTTCTGTTCACAGGACGACGCTTGAATCGTTTGTGCAGATTCAAACCGATCCGCTATGAATGTGGAAAGGAATCATACCGGATCACTTTTGAGCTTGCGTGAACCGTGAGCGAATGAATCCAATACGGTTTCGCTCCGGAACCGGGATTTTAAAAACAGCTTGGCAATCTTTTCAAGACATGAAATGGCAGTGGATCGCAGTTAAACAATAAATATGCTCTTTGCGATGATGTTGAGCTTCACAAGATTAATGCAAAGGAAAATTAGATTGTCTGAAAATTGATTTCGAAATACTTCTTCTTCAAAACAAAACAGCGTATCAGTAATTTTACGTCAAAAAATTTAATCAGAAAAAGAGGAAAACAACGAAGAACATCCCACGTTGCTACGCAACTTCTTCAAGAAAATGGATTTTTCGGAGCAGTGTTGAAGCGTAGCGTCACCGTGTGAACAGGAGTGAATCCCATACGAAATGAATCCGGTATCGTGTCAGAGCTTAATATTCGCATCGGAGTGGGTCAGTAAATACCATGTGAAACTAATCCGGTGTCCTTTTAACAGGGCCTATATGATCAAATAAAGAAATCTCCGCTGAAGTTTAGATAATTGCAAAAATATCTAAGACCAATTAAACGTTAAAACTTAACTTTCAAATTTTTCCAAATGTTGCTCTTTGCAACTTTCTACCGTAACTTATCAGATTCAGGAACGGTGGAAAACAGACTGTTCAATGGTTCAATGGATGAAGTGCTAAACCATTCAGGCTTTGTACCAGGGGGCAAGTTTGAAATCGTTTTAAAGGTACAAGGAAGAAAGGAGCTTTCCAGATACGAGACAGGCCAGAATTATGAGCATACACAATGTGCATTCAAAGATTCTCGACTCAAAGGACGCAAGAAACGCACTCAACCAGCATCTAGCTAGGGACTGCAGTGGTTGCCCTGCTACCCTTGCCACAAGTCTTTGTTCGGGAGACGAAACTTTTAGTCCTTTGTTTCGAAACAATACCGTCTTAAACCAATCAGTGTTGCAGGGTCATTGCACATGAGCAATTAATAACAGTATTCGCACAACGGTTCTGCCTGTGACCACACAACTCTTGAACTTCCTGCCAGGGCTTCAAGTGATAATGCGCATGCGCGATGACCCTGAAACGGGGGCTAGCGCATGTCTGGAAGACGGGCATGATTTATCTCCCGAACAAGTCTATGAACCAATCAGGAGCGATTATTTTAAACGAAACTGGTGTTCGTAACTGAACCACACACCTACGTCACCTAACCTCCCCCAGCCTGCCTTTAAGATCAACGTAAGGTAGGCAAATAAGATTGAGAAAGGTAGGCAACTCTGATGCTCGAAAATCTTTCAATGGCATTTTAACAAAAGGAGTAAGTAAATCTTAGTGTGCTTTGGAAGAAAAAAATTTTAAATCCAAAATAAAACAACAAACCTTTGCCGACAATCGTTATTCGTCAGGAATTTCGTGTGATATATCTTCATACCCATCAACAGTCAGCTCTGTGCTGAGAAATTCTGAAGTCACTTCACTAAGATTAAAAATGTTACATTTATTAATAAACGAAACTTTTGTAAAAAAACTCTATATGGCAGCATATGATGACTGTAATGTGTGAGAAGGAAGAACCGCAGAATAGGCTGTCCGCCGGATTCTGTGAATCTTGCAATGAGTATAATATAAATACGTAGATAAAATTCAGTAACAAAGCAAGACGGCAACGAGAATCCGATGTAATAAGATAAATTTTCAAAATTAAATTAAACTAAACGAATACTAATATTTCACCCCGGCATCCAGGGCTTCATCAGAGTAAAAAAATGCCTATGTTGTCACGTTCTTTGAAATGAAACAAATACAACAAGACTGTAACTGATTCAACCAAAAAAACTGCTTCGGTGACCTTAGTAAGTCTGGTCGTCACTTCACTTTCAAATGAATGATTAACGAAATATTCTATCTAAAAAGCATCTCAAATCATACCCTACTGCATATAATGTTGTATGTTGTATGGTGATAAACACAGCAAGACTAACACAGCTGATGATCAAAATAAAGATTGCTTCAACAACCTTGGAAGTATTTGAGTCTTGTTATCAGTAAACCTTCAAATGATGATAACTTTCCGGAAAAAAGGGCAGAAATGATTTGTATCGATTCACGTGGCATAAACGTTTGATTATTTTGTAGTGTTATTGTCGAGAAATTTATTGCGTTGATATTCAAGGTTAAGGATACAATCCCAAATGCAGAATAAATTACATCTCCGCAGATCAGACTGTATTCATAAACGAACGAACTGCTCGAGCAAAGAAAGCTTTTCTTTATGCAAATTGGTTTACTATTCCTGTACATCTCAACATTAACAAATATTGAAGCTACTAATTCGTCATACAAAACGAGTGGATACATTGTAATCTTAGAATCTCTATAATTTTCAATCAAATCAGTCACATGGTGTTCGACGAGTCTAAATTATGTACGAAATTTTTAAGAACAGTATCACCATAAGCGCAAAATTTCTAGGATTTTCTTTTCAAACGAAAATGGCTATCGCTAACGAATTATGATACTTAATTGAAAAGATTCACTATTCAAACTAAGCAAGAACTGTAGCTACGAATTCCATCAGCATTGGACTGATTATCGTTGCGGCCTGTTGTCACTAAACTTTCACAATTTTATCTCAGTTAAACTCTTTCCCCAAGACCATTAACGGCTTTTGAAAGTTTGTTTGCCGCAAGCACTAACCCACAGAATATCCAACCTCCAAACATAAGATCTTTCCTGTCAGATTCGAAGTTACCTCATCTTTAATTCTACATGCTGCTCGGCATAAAACACATTTACAGTATTAAGGCTGCAATACATACTTGTCGATAAATCTTTTCGAGATACTTGCTTCCCATTCTCTTTTTCTAGCAATTTCTTCGATATCAGCGATGATCTAGAATGAACAATGTTCGATCTGCAATGCCAGACTGAAATTTGATCGCCAAATCAATCCCAAGCTTTTTACTATTGCAAAATACCTGCCTAGAATTACCTGATATCCAATGTTAGATGTACTGGCAGTAAATAGAACAAATGATTATTCTGTTTCGTGTAGTACTTTTGTTAATAAACAGCGGCTGATCAAAACAGAAGATAAGCAAATAGAAAAAGGAACGGTTTCGAATCAACGCCTTTGACTAATCGGTTATAAGAAAAGCTCGCAGGCCATTTATAAAGAAATACTCAAAAAATAGTATTTTATCAGCCGAAGCTTAAGAATTATCTATTGCAAGAAATTCTGGATGTCATGGGGCGGCAAAACATTTGATTTAAATCTCTATAAGAAATTTACCAGCATACCAGCACAGGTATTAACATATAAACATCATGAAACAAAATTGCTACAATGGAAGAATGCGGAGGTGGATCACTCTACGGTGAAAGAAAAACCAAACATATTGATAATTACGCGCAAATATATATTCAAACTCACTTCATACAGCTTACAAAATAGGTATTAGCACTGACAAGTAAGATAATGTAGAGAAGAGTTAGGCTGGAAAAAGCTTATGTTGTAGACAGAGATACAGGTATCTGTATGATATAGACAAAAATGAGCAAATCTCTTAGTAGAAGGAGTGTATCACGAACCTTTCAGGTACCACAACGGCAATGAACACAAGGGGATGTGGCACACAAGGGGATGCAATTACAGACGAAACCAGGGCGACACAGAACTTTCAAAGCCATGTTCACGATACAGACTTTAACTCCATCTAACTTCTCTAGCAGATTTTTAAAAGGGTCTGTTTACACAAGTACATATTTGACTACTGGAAACATCCGCTGTTTGCTTACGAAGAAGAAACAATAGAAATGACAAATTCTGCTTTTGATTGCGACAAAGATCAAATAAACCAAAGGAAAGAAAAGTGTTTTAGACCCCGTTTACACTGTCCCGGGACAATTTTGTACCGTTACGGTTCGCAAGTGTTTACACTGTCGCGGTTCCAAATTGTTCCGTTTAGCCGTTCCGTTTACACTGTACCGGTACGACCTTAATTGAATGGTAGAACAATGTTTAGAAGAAGCTGTATTTAGTCAACCGAGGCTTTTATTTTGCTGCCGAAGTCAACAATCTAAATTTTATTGAGAGCTAAAATGGAGCGAAAGGCCGATAAAAACTTTACTTGGACCGACGACAAGGTGGCTTTAATTTTCAGTGTTATTTTAGACTACAAAACTGCAAAGTCCAA